TATTATCGTCCAACACATGCTTGCTTTACATCAATTACAAAACTCAAATTTGACCTTAAGTTAGCAGTACCTTATGAGCCAAAATGTCCATCTGCAGTCGTGTTGTGATGATAACACTTGCACAAACTTGCTCTCAAGAAAGAATGCTACATCTTATATAACTGGATAACACATCTGAACATGCTCTTTGGCTGTTTTGAAGGTGTCAACATAAGAAAAAAATGCACCTTGAGGCAAATATTTTTCCTTGTTGTCCAAATGATGGAAAAATATTTCGTCACTGCAGGGTTAGTGAAGCGTGTCGACACGTTCTATGCAAACGTTACCCTTTTCACTGACTCTGTCCAAACATGTTGCTCCATTCAGACATGAGAGGAGGCCCTCTTCATTTTTTAGGATGCCCGGCAACCAGCCAAGCGAACAGGTTACTCCTCCACCCCCCCACCCAAATGTCCCGTTTAGTTTTCCTCAAGGCGATGTCTTAAGAGTGTTGGCATTCACCTCCACCTTTCTGTCTGAATTGCTGTACATGTTGAAGCAAAAAGAAGAAATGTTTTCTAAAGTTTAATGTAACGTGGCCAACAGGTGCAAACGGCAGACAACACTTCCATTAGGAGAAAATGAAATAAATGAAACTCTGCAAAGAAGCTCAAAACAGAAACCAGGGGACATAAAAAAGTGACGCACACAACTGGGAGACCAAGGGACACTAAAGAGTGACGCACACAGCTGGGAGACCAGGGGACACTAAAGAGTGACGCACACAGCTGGGAGACCAGGGGACACTAAAGAGTGACGCACACAGCTGGAGACCAGGGGACACTAAAGAGTGACGCACACAGCTGGGAGACCAGGGGAGACTAAAGAGTGACGCATGCAGCTGGGAGACCAGGGGACACTAAAGAGTGACGCACACAGCTGGGAGACCAGGGGACACTAAAGAGTGACGCACACAGCTGGGAGACCAGGGGACACTAAAGAGTGACGCACGCAGCTGGGAGACCAGGGGACACTAAAGAGTGACGCACACAGCTGGAGACCAGGGGACACTAAAGAGTGACGCACACAGCTGGGAGACCAGGGGAGACTAAAGAGTGACGCACGCAGCTGGGAGACCAGGGGACACTAAAGAGTGACGCACACAGCTGGGAGACCAGGGGACACTAAAGAGTGACGCACACAGCTGGGAGACCAGGGGACACTAAAGAGTGACGCACGCAGCTGGGAGACCAGGGGACACTAAAGAGTGACGCACACAGCTGGGAGACCAGGGGACACTAAAGAGTGACGCACACAGCTGGGAGACCAGGGGACACTAAAGAGTGACGCACACAGCTGGGACGCTTGGTGACGTTCAGGATTTTAAAGCTGATCAATTGTCTCTGTTCAGAGTTAGTCTGTCTCATAACTCTAAGTGTTTGTCAGTAAATCTGAAATGACTAGGTTAGCTACGTTAGCTAGCTAGCTTACAGCAGATCTGCAGTGACATCAGAAGGAGTCATGTGACCACATTGTTAAAATAAACCCATAAAACATTTTAGGTAAGACAGTTGTCCAGCTTTATAATCCTGAACGTCACTAACCGTCCCCAGCGGTCCCACTCTTTAGTGTCCCCTGGTCCCCACATTTGTGTTTTTATATTTCCATCGTTTTTGAAAGTACAGTGCGTAGTATGTTTGGCCGTTGAAGCGTATTTACACCTGCTGGCCACCGTACTATTGTTATAAGAGAAAATTGAACTGCCATAGTATTGATTTGTTATCGCTGCCTTCGTATCAAAGCTGCAGGAATTCAAACTATTCTCAGCCTTGTTTTGTAAATCTTATTATCCCAGCTGATCTCCTGCAGTGTGCAAACTGTGTCTGCCCTCTTGCTCTTTTTTATATCGTGGCAAACGATGCAAAAACACAAGTTGAATGAAATCACAGGGAGGACTTTGATCTCTACAGTCTACATTTGAACTCACCCCTTCATACCGTACATCCTTTCATGTCAGAGATCGTTTCTGGATGTCTGGGTGGAACAGCTCACTTGAATAGAGGTGGAGAGGAAGATAACTAACATGGAGAAAGAGAGGGAGGAAGACCAAGCAATGTCACGCTCCATTCCCGAACAAAGAAGCCCTTATTTAGTGCTTCAGACGAGACGTGATAAACGATGAGAAGCAGGATGGAGGAAGAGTTTCCAACAGCGGGCGCTCAGACATCAGATGAGATGAGAGGAGGAAAAGATAGGGGGACTTTTCACAGGAAATGTGTAGGTTTTTGTATTAAAAGGAAACAGTTATTGAAATATAACGCCACAAGTTACGCAAACCTATACTATTTAAGGTAAACCTAGATCTTCTTATAAAGCTAACCAAAACGTTTTGTACTCTCCAAAGGTTCTAAACATTGATTGCTTGTATTTTAAAGAGGGGGAGTGTGTGTAACACTTTGGGATTTTACACTTTGCAGACCATTTACATGCACAGAAACCTATATAGCACCACGAAAAAGCAGAATAGGTCCTCACAACACTGAAAAAGGATTCTTAATCATTCAAAAGAAGATATGGATTTTTACTAACTTGGTTGTAAGATTGTAATAACCATTTTTTACTTACTTACTTACAACTTACTGTTATCGTTGGAAGAACATGTTCCTCATGTTGAGAAAGTACATGCAAATAGCTTTTTTCTTATATTTACTTTGTATTTATTGACTAGTTTCATCCATATGTGTTCTTTGTTCTCCTGTGTAAAACTAAAGCAAGATAGAGGACAAGTAGGAATCGCATATTAAACCAAATAGCACTGTTTTATTTTATAAAATGGCCCATGGAACTGGAACAAGTGTCCAAAAGATGCACATAAAATTGAAAATGTCCGACTTCCTGTTGGGTTTACAATATGCGTCCAAGAGGCTTTTTGGTGCGTCTCACCATGTTACATATGCCTTCCAAATTCCAGACTTGTAGGTGAAAGGACAACGAGGGGCTGCTTCTTAACAAATGTGTAAAGCAAGATAGAGGACAAGTAGGAATCGTACATTAAACCAAACAGCACTGTTTCATTGTGGAAGAAAAAGCATGTGATGGGGAAATCTAATATAACCAGCTTGTTGCACAGATGGCCCTCCTGAATTCACACATCAGGGTCAGAGTCTTTCATATCTGCGTCGAATTTACAGAATATGTGTTGAGCAAATCTGTATTCGAAGCAATTTCCCCCAAACAGAAGCCCTGTGGAAAAACGACGAGTTAAAGTATGCGGCCTCAGGTCATGGAAAAATTTAAATGAACATAAAGACCTGTTTTCCATCCAAATTGCAGAACAAACAAGTCGACCCTACAGTTTCTGAATCCTAATTTAGTGAGAGATAAAATCCCCGTCAGTGTCAGACTTTTCAACGAACCCACAAACAGCCAGAGGCGATTTCAACACGAGCTGCGAGTAAACAACACAAACACTGAGGGGTTTGTTTGGGAATCTGGAGAGCGTCCATTAGTGTGTAACGGAGAGAGTTGTGTGCACATGCTTTGGTTGTTTATTGCAAACAGTTTAGTCCCTTTATGCATATTCAGAAGTGTTTTTTGCATCAACCCTGGTTCTTATCAAACCCTGAAACCGATTGTTCTAATTTTGTATTTGAGGAAAGAGACTTACATATAGACAATGTATTCAGTTTACTAACTTTTGTCTTAAAGATTAGGTATTTTGTCCTTCTTGTTGGTAACAGGAGGTGAAATCAGAAACAGTTGAATATTGTCAATTAAATGCTTGATTTAAAAGCATTTGCTGATTCTTGAGCACTGTGGCTAAAAGACCTCAAAACCACTATGTTCTTTTATATATCATTTTCTGCGATAATCCAAAAGTCCAATGGAAAAATCCCATTGGACTTTTATTGAGGGAACTCTTGTGTAGCTAACTTTTGGGCTGTTCTACAACAATACGTCATCACTGCACCCGATATCATAAAGAAACAACATCATTAGCCGCTTTCACACCAAGTACTTTGCGGTACTTGTTCCCCGGTACTTGTTCCACCCGAACTCTTTAGTCCCTGGAACTGTCCTAGTAGATCGCGTTCTCACCGGAATAAGTCCCTGAGGGAGGATTAGGCAAATGAAGCCGCTGACGTCACTTCTTCTTCTTCTGCTTTGGGTTTACTGGCAGGCCGCAAACAACTTCACGGCGTATACTGCCACCCGCTGTACATGAGGCGCCTGTTCATCTTCCTCAGACATGATGGAGTTGACTGAAGTTGTGGTTTTTGTGCTCATGTTATACAGCTTGGTCTCATCACTCCACCGCTCCCATGTTTTCTTTTGTGTTGCCATAAGTTCGTCTCTCTCCGTTGGTGCGCTGGGCTAATGCGAGCAAATAAAATGGCGGCTTCACAAAACCTTTCGGAGTTTTTTACGGGGCGTGGTTTGCAATTCGCCCAGCCAATCATAAATTGTTAGCGTGGCCGACACACCCACGAACCATTTCCTCCTCAGGAAAGTACTACCTCTCTAGCAGGGACGATCTGGGGGCGATCTAGGGACTAGGCCCAGATCCTTTTTGGTGTGAAACCAAATCTCCCCCCCCCTATCGGCCTAGTTCGGGGGGAAAAGTAGTCCGATGTGAAAGCGCTAATTGATTCTTATTGGGTGAAAGGCACTACACCAAAGTGATATTGGATATATGTATATATAATACCCTGCTTTATATGTTGTTACTGTACATTTGTGATTCCACATGTATATTTTCTACTTTTTTTTAATGCTATTTTATTTCTATTGAGATGTTTACATTTTGGAATGTTTAATTCTAGTCTTTTCATTTTTATTGTACAATGCCATGTCTTTTTATGCTGCAACGCAAACGTTTCCCAAATTGGGATCAATAAAGTACTTCTTATCTTATCTTATCTTAACACACGTTTATGTGGCTTTGCTTAATAATGGGTCTTGTTTGTTTGAACTAGACTGTAAACATTTAATAAAAGGAAACCGTCTGTTTGTCTCCACAGACCTTCAAGATGAAGGTGTGGATCTTCTTCCTCCTGTGCCTGGCTGGCCACGCCATGGCTGCTCCTGTGAGTTATACTGTGTGTGTGTGTGTGTGTGTGTGTGTGTGTGTGTGTGTGTGTGTGTGTGTGTGTGTGTGTGTGTGTGTGTGTGTGTGTGTGTGTGTGTGTGTGTGTGTGTGTGTGTGTGTGTGTGTGTGTGTGTGTGTGTGTGTGTGTGTGTGTGTGTGTGTGTGTGTGTGTGTGTGTGTGTGTGTGTGTGTGTGTGGGTGGTCTGCCTTTGTCTTTACGAGCATGTTCCTTTCTTTGTGTGTTTTCCTGAGTGTGTGTTTGTGTTTCCACCTTCTTCTTTCCTGTGTCATTATCCATTCCCTGTGTGTGTGTGTGTGTGTGTGTGTGTGTGTGTGTGTGTGTGTGTGTGTTTTCCTTTCCTGTGTATATCTACTGGTGTGTTCTTATTATAGTGTGAACATCCAATTGCTCTCCTGTGTGTACGCTGTCCCAAAGTGTGTGTGCATTTGAAGGTGACATCATCGTCTGCTTCTGACTTCTATGAGTACCGGCAAGTGTGTGTTCATGTACACAAATTATAACGCATTAATCTCTATGTGTTTATGTGTGTTTTCCAGACTGAGGAAGCTGTTGTAGAGGAGCTCCTTATTGCCGAGGAGCCAATTGCTGAGGTCAGTCCAGATGTTCATCTGTTTAAGATTGAAGTTTATTTTCTCTCCTTAAAAGCTAAGATGAATAATGACACTAATGACACCATTACGTGACGTTTATTTATTTGTTATTCTATTACCAGCATTTTTAGGCCAGCACCATGAGGCAGAGTGTGGGTGATTTCACTACTCTGATACAATCATTGTACCTTTCCCAGATGATGCCTTCAATGTAGACTAACGCTCTTAATAACTTTTGATCTTAAAGTTCTTAAGATGGGACTGACCAAATTCTGAGTCGATCAGATGAAAACCTTAGGAGGAGTTTATTTAAAAATGGCACGTGGAACTGGAAAAAGTGTCCAAAAGTTGCACATTAAATTCAAAATGTCCGACTTCCTGTTGGGTTTACAATATACGTCCAAGAGGCTTTTTTGTGCGTCTCACCATGTTACATATGCCTACCAAATTGCAGACTTGTAGGTGAAAGCACAACGAGGGGCTGCTTCTTCACAAATGTGCAAGAGGAGATATAGAGCCATATAGCTTGCAAATATCAACCTCTTCACCAGTCCTGATACAATTGCAAAAAAGCCTACAAGCCTTTTTGGATGCTATTAGGATCTCAGCAGTTACATTGATGTCTAAAATGTAATCATAATTGATAGAAACGGTGACAAAAAACACAAAAAAATACCCAATTATGAACCAAAATCATCCTTTAAAACTCTCAAAGCTCTGTCCTGTGTATGCTGTCGTTACACTGATTGTTTCGGGAAACCCAAATACTTTAACTCTCATTGGATTTAGATTTGGCGTCAGTGACGTGTTCCTGATCCACGCAGCTGCTCAGAGAGATGATCTGATCTGTGAGATTTGTCGTTTTAAACCCTGCAGCCAAAGAAGCTTTAGTGGTTTCTTTACGTGACGGTTAATAAGCCAAAGAAACTAATTAACTTTGACGCGATCGAAACAACGCAGAATTATTGGAAACTAAATGCAAATTATGGAAAGTCAATTGTATAGGTGCCTAAAAATAATCAAAATAATCAGTTACCAATCAATACAAGAGATATCATTCCACCATGTTTTAAAGGTCACCTATTATGCAAAATCCACTACTTCATGTCTCTTCTACATCAACATGTGTCCCCTCTTCTTCATGTCTCTTCTACATCAACATGTGTCCCCTCTTCTTCATGTCTCTTCTACATCAACATGTGTCCCCTCTTCTTCATGTCTCTTCTACATCAACATGTGTCCCCTCTTCTTCATGTCTCTTCTTCATCAACATGTGTCCCCTCTTCTTCATGTCTCTTCTACATCAACATGTGTCCCCTCTTCTTCATGTCTCTTCTACATCAACATGTGTCCCCTCTTCTTCATGTCTCTTCTTCATCACCATGTGTCCCCTCTTCTTCATGTCTCTTCTACATCAACATGTGTCCCCTCTTCTTCATGTCTCTTCTACATCAACATGTGTCCCCTCTTCTTCATGTCTCTTCTACATCAACATGTGTCCCCTCTTCTTCATGTCTCTTCTACATCAACATGTGTCCCCTCTTCTTCATGTCTCTTCTACATCAACATGTGTCCCCTCTTCTTCATGTCTCTTCTTCATCACCATGTGTCCCCTCTTCTTCATGTCTCTTCTACATCAACATGTGTCCCCTCTTCTTCATGTCTCTTCTACATCAACATGTGTCCCCTCTTCTTCATGTCTCTTCTACATCAACATGTGTCCCCTCTTCTTCATGTCTCTTCTACATCAACATGTGTCCCCTCTTCTTCATGTCTCTTCTACATCAACATGTGTCCCCTCTTCTTCATGTCTCTTCTACATCAACATGTGTACCCTCTTCTTCATGTCTCTTCTACATCAACATGTGTCCCCTCTTCTTCATGTCTCTTCTACATCAACATGTGTCCCCTCTTCTTCATGTCTCTTCTACATCAACATGTGTCCCCTCTGTGGAAAGAGACTCTGAAAGTTTCAGGAACAAAGATTCTCTCTCTTTTTGTCCTGATCCATTTCTATAAAAACCTGAAATTGAGCTGATCAGATTTTGGCCACTCCTGACCTCTTAGGAATTCTTTATCTTTAAAAATACCCGGCGTCTATTTTGGAACAGTCAATATCAGGTTGTTCTATTAAATTACATTACATTTATATATATTTCTTTATTATATTTCTTCGGACTTCTTCAGGGGTTCTTATCTCCAGATTAAAATATGCATCTTTAAGAAAAGGCTATGAAGTCCATAGTTTAGATGTAAGAATACATATTTATTGCCAGGAATACACAAATGAATGTAATGGAGTTTTGGCGATTAGGCCCCGTTGTGCAGGAGTATCATTCGGGAGGGGAGAACCGATCCGATGAAACCCCCCGGGGTCTAGACCCTGGTGGTGGTGAATGGATAGTTGGGGTCGGTCTGAAGGGGAGTGGCTTAGCTTGACCCTGGTGGTGGTGAATGGATAGTTGGGGTCGGTCTGAAGGGGAGGGGCTTAGCTTGACCCTGGTGGTGGTGAATGGATAGTTGGGGTCGGTCTGAAGGGGAGGGGCTTAGCTTGACCCTGGTGGTGGTGAATGGATAGTTGGGGTCGGTCTGAAGGGGAGTGGCTTAGCTTGACCCTGGTGGTGGTGAATGGATAGTTGGGTTCGGTCTGAAGGGGAGTGGCTTAGCTTGATCCTGGTGGTGGTGAATGGATAGTTGGGGTCGGTCTGAAGGGGAGGGGCTTAGCTTGACACTGGTGGTGGTGAATGGATAGTTGGGGTTGGTCTGAAGGGGAGGGGCTTAGCTTGACCCTGGATTCAGAGGGACAGGAGGTGAAAAGGGGTGGAGGAGGGTTGCGTAGAGTCACCTGAAATGACAGCTGACAGAGGGGAGAGCAGATTGAAAAAGGTTTAGCGGAGCGCTGTGATAGGCTTGTGAGAATAGAGCGAAGTGATTGGTTAAGCTGGGGAGTGACGCCCCCGATCACTTATTGAGAGGGAGAGAGTAGTAACATGGAAATAGTAAATGAATCAGTAAAGACGGTCTTCCTGGTTGAACTTGCGCTGAGCTTCATAAGTGAAAATTATCTTGGTAAGATTTCTTGAAATAAGAAAGGACATTTAGATAAATCACATCTTGTAATTATCTAGGAGAACTTATTGTGAACTATATTTGACCAGAATCAGGAAATGTTGTGCTACATTATAAGCTGCAAATGCTCAAAAGTTTTCTGCTTTCTGATGTCAGTTGGTGATTTTCTAATAAATATGTGAAAAGTTTCATCTGAGATACAACTCAAAATAAGATGTTTTGACTTAACAAGATGATGCATTGTCTAAAAACAAAACCCTATATCTCACTGCAGTGTTACTTCTGAAGTTATTTTGTCTTATATCAGGTGTAGAGACATATTCTGACTAGATATTAGACACATATACTGGGTAAGATTTAGAGTTTTTGTAGTGTTTAAGGAATGGAATATTAAATATAACTATAAATGTACAGTGTGAGTTTAAGTCCAATTTCTGTATTAGCAAATAATGAGGGATGAACACATGAAATACTTCCAGCTCTCTCCACAGTTATTGCCTTATTAGGAGAGACTAACATCCCTTCACTTGTGTATAGCCTGTTGTAAACAATACCTAACTACCCAAATGTCCCCGTATAAAACCGTTGGAGTGAACATTCATGTGAACGTTTTATCGCTTCCTGCTCCAGAGGTCCGGCGGGACCCAAAATCCCACAGCTGTTAATTTTAGCCGGTCAGGAAGCCATTACGTTCTTCATGTCTTCACCACATGTGGATCCAGCTGCTTGCTATTGCTGGATATTATGGTCTGTTTGGACTTCAGGGAGGAACCTTCTTTAGTGGTGACTTTTCTTTTAGGAAAACCAGGGATATTTAAGCGGTTTGGTTTAAAGTGGACGTCGTGCAGAAATAGACCTGAGGACTAGAAATCAACTGCAAAGCCTGTGGAGGAAAATCTTAAGAGAAACTGATAAATGCTTCATGGACAAAGTTTGTATTTTCCAGAGATGGCAAAAGTACACACATCCTTTACTCAAGTAGAAGTACAGATACTAGTGTTTAAAAATACTCTGGTAAAAGTAGAAGTACTGACTAAACTTCTTTACTCAAGTCAAAGTAAAGAGGGTTTTGAAATGTACTTCAGTAAAAAGTACCCATAACTACCAGCTGTTTTAAAGAGTACCTGACCTCCCTTTATATTAATAGAACAATAACGTCATTGTTAGCTAATGAATGTTTCCATGCTGAACCAGAAAAATGTACTTAAGTACAGTAAAGAGGTATTTGTACTATTTGTAAAGTCTGACCTCTGACCTCTCTTGTTCCCCAGGAGCCTGAGGTCGGGGCCAACCCAGTTCAGGTTGAGATCGAAGAGTTTGATGAGGCCATCGACATTTTTGAGGAGGAACAGGCTTTTGCTGATAGTAAGTTGTCAAAACACACACACACACACACACACACACACACACACACACACACACACACACACACACACACACACACACACACACACACACACACACACACACACACACACACACACACACACACACACATTGCATCGACTTACACATTTTTTTTTTTGTTGTAATTTAAATCTTTATTGTCACATTATACATGGCAATAACATGTTGGTATATGTCTATAGGGATATGTCTGCATGTTATTATATTCTTGAAGATATATGTATCTATTAGCTGTTGTTCCAGTCAAATGGTTTTGTTTTGAGTCTTGTGTAGAGTACATTTTAACCACTTTCTGTTGAGTTGTTTTCTCTTTGATGTGGAAGATTTCTTCCACAATTGTTACCCATTGGTTTTTCGTTGGCGGTGCTTCCTTACCCCAATTCCTAGTGATAGCTTCCTCGCTGGATATTAGCAGAATTTTGACCAAATATCTGTCACTTGCAATCATTTCCTCAGTGCCTGGAGATTTACCCACATTTACTACATACAAAAATAAAGTCTTTCCCACAAACTTGTTTTGCTTACCTTGTGGGGACCAATAACTGGGTCCCCGTGTTATTGGTGGTCCCCACAATGGATGAAAACAGTTATATGTATATCACACAGCTACAGTAGTAATTCACTTTAATGTTTTATGCTTTGTTTTAAGTATTTGATTTGTATTTTCAGTCTGCTGGACAATAATAATATTCCCATAATAGTTTCAATTTACATGTTTAATTTCTTCACCACACAACACACACACACGGGCAATGTTTTTAAAAGAAAAAATAACAATAGTTTAAAAGACAAGCATAAACATGTAAATACTGATGACGGATAAAAGATGTGACAGATTGTACATTTGTTTAGTTTTTAAACATGTAAAACGTAAGTTAAATTGACATTAAATTGGTCAAAATTCAAGTGAAGTAAGACTTGTCACAGAGATGAACAACTTCAATAAAAACCCCACACAAGAGTTTGCATGACATTACATCACTGCATACACACAGAAACACACTTCTAACTAAAATAAAACCTCAAATGAAACACAAACTTCCATAAATCGTTTTCTTCTGTGACTGCAGTCATGAAAGTGTGTCTGTTTGTTTCTTTACACATCGAGCGTCTCCACACATTTTGATTTAAATCTGTGTGTCTCTCGTCTGTGTTGTCCATCTATGGTTACAGTGTTTAAAGAAACCTCAGACTGGCAAATCAAACATCCGTAATAACAGAGTGCCTCTCCTCCCTCTGTAATTATACGTTTCAGCCAAATGACTGAGCAGCAGCCGCAGGAAAACAGTCCAAATGTACAAAATGTACAAAGAGTACAAAATGTTCAGATGTGTAGTTCTGTCTGAGCGTGTTGAAGGATTTAGGTTTGTGGAGTAACAGATTACATTTAACAGGATTACGTAATCAGGATACAAAAAAGGTCAATAAAGTACTTCTTATCTTATCTTATATTATCCATTACAGTTACATACAAAGAGATGTAATCAGATTACTAGTGCAGTTCTAAAACTATGGGGATTACTAGCAGGATTACCATGTTACTATACATTTTAAAATAAAGATCAATATATTATAGACGTACTGAATACATTTTCTCTTGGTTTTCATTCAGGCTTCTTTCCTTCTTCGTTATTTTAAATATCTTTGTCTTAAACACAGTACGTGGACACCGGCTTTATTAAAAAAAAACTGTGTTTGTTTCAGTTCATGCAATAAACTGAAACAGCATTTTTAAACTCTTAGGTCAAAGTCAAAGTCAACTTTATTGTCAATTTTTCAGTTTGTGTGTACAGACAGAGAGATGGAAATGCCGTTTCCCACAATCCAGAATACAAAAAATACAAATATATATAAAAATATGTATATCCTATATATACACAATCAACAGACACATTTATACATATGCACACATTAAGACCTAAATAAAAGCACAACAATCAATATATACAAAATAACAGTTTTCTCTGTGAATGATTTCATTTGAGTTTTCTCTGCACACGGCACTGCAGGACTGGAAAGTGTCGGTCTGCATTGGGTCACACGGAAACCGTTTCCTGAGAAATAACTTCTATTTGTTTTCACAGATCCCTGCCTGGATCACCACTGCAAGAAGGGCAAAGTGTGTGAGGTCGATGAGGATAACACCCCCATGTGTGTGTGCCAGGATCCATCCTCCTGCCCCGCCTCCGAGGGAGAGTTCGAGCATGTGAGTCCTGAAGAATTCACTTCAACTCGTCTTTAACCCTATCATCTGTTTCCCCTGAATAACCTGTCCCTATCATCTGTGTCCACTTTAATTGTCTTCTCCATGATGGTTTGTGTTTTTATCGTGTTCTGTTGCTTTTACCTCTTAGAATATTTAACAAATTGTACGGTGTCCTTGGGTGTCATGAAAGCCTTAAATAAAATGTATTATTATTATTATTAAACTCAGGTTTAAACTTGAAATAGATGGTGAAAAAAAGTTGGAAATGGATGCAGCGATTTCTGATATAAAGTATTATCCTACAGAACAGAACAGCTGACAGAGAAGAGATAACATCTGATCCTTTACAACAAACACTATCTGCTCTTTTTAGGTTTTTACTAACACTGTAATCCTGCTAGTAATCCACCATTTTTAGATATAACAGTAATCTGATTACGTCTTTTGTTATGTAACTGTAAAGGAATACCGTTTAAATCCATTGTTTTCCGTCCTTCTGAAGGTTTGCGGCACCAACAATGTCACCTACGACTCTTCTTGCCACTTCTCCGCCACCAAATGCGCTCTGGAGGGAACCAAGAAGGGCCACAAGCTGCACCTCGACTACATCGGATCCTGCAAATGTGAGTTTCCTTCCTTCCAACATTTCAGATCTTTCCCCAAAGTTAAGGTTTCCCCAAAGCCCTGACTCAACACTCAGACATTTCAGATGATATGTGAAAGGTGCACAACGGATAAAAGAGTCTCATGAAAGTGCTCATAACCTCTGAATTAGTTATTTTGGTAGAAGATGCATAATTGTTTCCAACATAATTACTTTGAGTTAAACGCAAATCTACAGGAATCGCCAGTGTCAGGAGTCATAAGATAAAAGCATAGTTTTTTTAATAAAAGCTTAACAAAATAAATATATACAGGAACAAGTATTAGAAAAGAAAACAAGAACAGAAATTGATTTTTGGAGACGGAGTACTTCTACAAAAAGCTCTGTTCCCAGTTGTTGTTAAAATTGTAGATTTGGGGGAAAGTTAACCACTTTAACGTCTGGAGTTTTTCCAAAAATGTAAATAAAGTGTTGACCCACCAATATGCAAATGAAGTGCATCATCTCAGCTAATTAAAGAGGCCCTATATCACTTTTCCCTTTCCTGTAGCGTCTCATATAGGTTTTGGTGCATGTAAATGGTCAGCAAAGGCTAAACATCCCCAAGTTACAGGACTTTTACTTGTAATAAAGTTTGCTTCGTTCCCATTTGATAAAACTGCAGACTTTGTGTTAATATAATGTCTTTTGCTGGAATTATTCATTTCTTTATCTTGAGTTGCAATTTCTTGTTTTGTTCAGATTAGATCACGTTCGCTCACTGGTGAGGGATACGATCAGTTCCTGTGTATCTAGTTCAAACTCGTGTGTATGCTAAGTTATGAGTCTGCAGCCTAGCTGTGTGTGTGTGTGTGTGTGTGTGTGTGTGTGTGTGTGTGTGTGTGTGTGTGTGTGTGTGTGTGTGTGTGTGTGTGTGTGTGTGTGTGTGTGTGTGTGTGTGTGTGTGTGTGTGTGTGTGTGTGGTGTGTGTGTGTGTGTGTGTGTGTGTGTGTGTGTGTGTGTGTGTGTGTGTGTGTGTGTGTGTGTGTGTGTGTGTGTGTGTGTGTGTGTGTGTGTGTGTGTGTGTGTTCAGTGTCTCGACTCTTTGCCTTGCTGTGATTGATGGGCGGATCTTCACACTGTCTGCTGCATCTGTACAGACATGCAGGCTGCATTTCTTTTACTGTTCAAACTGAACACACACACACACACACACACACACACACACACACACACACACACACCCAAGATGAGTCAGGGCTGAAGGGCTCAGATGGAGATCAAGGTGGCGTTCAGTACAGCAGAATAAAACACAACGCAGATTATTTTTATCATCTTTTTTTTGTCGTGTTATACAAAAATTGTAATCCTACTAATAATCCCCAGTTTTCAGAAATGTAACAGTAATGTGATAACTGCATATTATGTATATGTTCAACTTTTTTAATGCTATTTTATTTCTATTTGAGATGTTTACATTTTGGATTGTTTATTTAACTCTTTTAATTTCTCTAATGTACAATGCCTTGTGTTTTCATGCTGCTGCAATGCAAACATCAATAAAGTACTTCTTATCTTATCGTATCTTATTTTACAACACACACACACACACACCCAAGATGAGTCAGGGCTGAAGGGCTCAGATGGAGATCAAGGTGGCGTTCAGTACGGCAGAATAAAACACCACGCAGATTATTTTGATCATCTTCTTTTGTGTTTTACAAAACAAGTTACACTTTTTGCGATTATCCTGTAACATATACTCCGCTGCTCCCCGAGCCTTGTGAATTATCCCTCATGTATTAAAGGTGTGTGTGTGTGTGTGTGTGTGTGTGTGTGTGTGTGTGTCTCCGCAGACATCGACGCCTGCCTGGACGCAGAGCTGAGCGAGTTCCCTCTGAGGATGAGAGACTGGCTGAAGAACGTTCTGGTGACTCTGTACGAGCGCGACGAGGAGAACAACCTGCTGACCGAGAAGCAGAAGCTCAGGGTGAGTCTGGGGTCCAGCTGTAAGATGTGAAGGATCTTTAAAGTCGCATTGCTTCTAACGAATGTCTAAACATAGTCAAATCCAGAGATGGCAAAAGTACACACATCCTTTACTCAAGTAGAAGTACAGATACTCGTGTTTAAAAATACTCTAGTAAAAGTAGAAGTACTGACTAAACTTCTTTACTCAAGTCAAAGTAAAGTATGGGCTTTGAAAATGTACTCAAGTAAAAAGTACCCATAACTACCAGCTGTTTTATTGTGTTGCACTGTTGGAGGAGCCTGTGACCTCAGATTTTCATTGTCATAACTACACTGTAGCTATGTGCAAGTGACAATAAAAGCCTTGCATTTTGAATCCTTGAATCTTGAATCTAGGGCTCTCTTTATATATGTTGCTAATGTGTCTTGCGTCTGATGTTCCAGGTGAAGAAGATCTTTGAGAACGAGAAGAGGCTTACGGCCGGCGAACACTCTCTGGACCTGCTGGCTCACGACTTCGAGAAGAACTACAACATGTACATCTTCCCCGTGCACTGGCAGTTCGGACAGCTCGACCAGCACCCCGTTGACGGGTACGTTGAAAAATCACCTTATTATAGAGAGAAATCTGTGTCAAACACACATTTATGAAACGTACACGTCTTGTTCATCAGGATAATCTCCACATATTAACAACACTTTATGATTTCTGAAGTAAAAACCTAATGTTAGGCTTTAAAGGAACTACAGCACGGTCACATGACTTCACGTCACCACCGCTAAGCTAAAGGTGTCTAAAGTTGGGCTATAAAGGAACTACAGCACGGTCACATGACTTCACGTCACCACCGCTAAGCTAAAGGTGGCTAATGTTGGGCTATAAAGGAACTACAGCACGGTCACATGACTTCACGTCACCACCGCTAAGCTAAAGGAGGCTAATGTTGGGCTATAAAGGAACTACAGCAGGGTCACATGACTTCACGTCACCACCGCTAAGCTAAAGGTGGCTAAAGTTGGGCTATAAAGGAACTACAGCACGGTCACATGACTTCACGTCACCACTGCTAAGCTAAAGGCGGCTAATGTTGGGCTATAAAGGAACTACAGCACGGTCACATGACTTCACGTCACCACCGCTAAGCTAAAGGAGGCTAATGTTGGGCTATAAAGGAACTACAGCACGGTCACATGACTTCACGTCACCACCGCTAAGCTAAAGGTGGCTAATGTTGGGCTATAAAGGAACTACAGCACGGTCACATGACTTCACGTCACCACCGCTAAGCTAAAGGTGGCTAAAGTTGGGCTATAAAGGAACTACAGCATGGTCACATGACTTCACGTCACCACTGCTAAGCTAAAGGCGGCTAATGTTGGGCTATAAAGGAACTACAGCACGGTCACATGACTTCACGTCACCACCGCTAAGCTAAAGGTGGCTAATGTTGGGCTATAAAGGAACTACAGCACGGTCACATGACTTCACGTCACCACCGCTAAGCTAAAGGTGGCTAAAGTTGGGCTATAAAGGAACTACAGCACGGTCACATGACTTCACGTCACCACTGCTAAGCTAAAGGCGGCTAATGTTGGGCTATAAAGGAACTACAGCACGGTCACATGACTTCACGTCACCACCGCTAAGCTAAAGACGGCTAATGTTGGGCGTGATGACGTTTAGTCGTCTCATTTAGACACTTGTTAGCAACCGCTGTTTTTAAATTCACCAGTGGGGTATTTGACGTATTTTATGTCGTAGAACACAACGTTAAATCTCTTCGGCTTGTGTAAACCGCAGACCTTATTTCAGGATAACTACCAAAAACACATTTTTTTTAAAACCATTGACTTCGAGACGAGGGAATCAGAAGTGCTAAATTGCTGACTAACTTCCGGGGCTAAGGACTCATTCCTGCAAAGTCACTCCCTGGAAATTATCATCAAGAATATAAAAAAGCGAACATGGCTATTATTAGTCCATCTCGATTATCATTTGTTGAGGAGCAGACTGAAGATCATTTACTTGCTTCACTTGTTTTAATCTAATCAAATATAAAGTTAATGGCTTCTGTTTCCTTGTGAATGTGAGCTTTTACTGATGTATTTTATGGCAACATGAAAGAAATACAAAGTTATTGGATAATATTTCAGGATGCATCTCACCTTACTGTATCTCTGCAGCTCACCCACTCCAGACCAAAATGAAAGGTGTCTTCAGTGTTTCTGACATATTTCATTATATTTCGTGATGCAGGTACCTCACCCACTCTGAGCTCTCCCCCCTGCGCGCCCCTCTCATCCCGATGGAGCATTGCACCACCCGATTCTTCGAGGAATGCGACGCCGACAGCGATAAATACATCGCCCTGGAGGAGTGGTCCAACTGCTTCGGCATCAAAGAGCGTGAGTATCCACCGTGTGCATGGAGAGGATCACCAAACAACAGAAACATCATGTTTAATACAATGCAAAAAGCATAGCTAAATTGCACCAAGAAGTACTTTAATACTATATAACATATTTGATTTCTTACTTTAATTGGCTAGTATACAGTTCCTACAGTACATCAGAGTTACATACATTCACTGTTAAAGACAATATGAAAAGCAACCATTGGAATATTATGTTCTTTCATGGAAAACAGAGAAAAATATCACAAGAAAAAAGTTTAAAAAGTAGTTTTTTTGGCTTAATTTTCATGCATTGGAAAAACTATGTGTAGATTTTACTTTGTTGAAATGTATTGTTTTTTTATGCGACTACTCCTTAAATAATCAAAACTCTAACAAACTTAAAAATACTTAAAAATAAGTCAATAGTTATGAATTGAATAAAATGTGTAAAATATTAATTTGCACAGATTTCTGCCCATTCTGAAGAAATATGTATGTTCTTTTAACCCTTTAATTAACTAAAAATACTTGTTTAATATATAAAATGTGATTATACATAATGATTATTGATGATTAATGAATTTGATTACATTTGTAAGATATTACATTTGGTCGTTTTTGTGCATTTTTTATGCATTAATAAGTATTTTTAACCACTGCTGTTATGCTTTATGAAAGTCCTTATTGCCCTTTTATCAGAATGTGAATTTTCTCATGTTTTTTTTTAATGTTTTTGTGTTTGCAGAGGATGTGGACAAAGACCTCATCGTCTAAGTTCCTCGCTCTACGAAAACTGCTCGTCTCTACTAACGGGACAAGGTGCTGATCCCTAAGTTAAAAGATAAATCACAGTAACGGTGCTAATTGCAAATTGTTTATCTTGTTTTTTTTTGTTTGAATAACGACCGTTTCGTAACGATACCACTAAAAAAAAAAAGATTACAAAACGTGCACAATCTGTACTAATAACCCTCACATGTTGCTAAAACCATGGTTTGTTGAACCCAGTAAAGAAAGACCTCGATGTAAATGTGTTATATATGTTATGGTTCGTTCAGGGCATTTTAATTGGACATGAATTGGATTTGAGGAGAAAAAGACTGTAAAGTGGAAAATAAAGTTTCTAAATAAATGCTTCCTCTGCTTGCTTTCTAAAAACTACTGTTGTTTAGTTCAAATCTGTGTGTTATTGTTCTTTTAAAAGTTTTTTTTTATTTTCTCCCCAGACGAGGACACGCGTGTTTACACTGATATGAGAAACAATAATGAGGATATATTGTTTTAATGAGGGGGGAATCTCGCAGGCTGAGAGTCTTTTCTCATAATTAACATGTTTCTACTGAGAGCACAAGCTTCCCATGAATAAAAGACTATGAAACGTTCTGGAAATCTCTGCATGCTTTCATATCTCTTCTGGGAAAAGTCATCTAGTGTCACATTTCTGTCTTTAAAGCTGAAGAAATGTCGTTATAAGAAGCGTCTGATCCTCGGTGGTCACTTGTTTTGCATTATGTGTCTCTGAACGCCGCCGTCGTGCAGCTTTCAAAGAGGGTCTATTCTGATGTGTGTGGTGTTCCCTCTCCTGTAGTTTGTTCTGTAGGTTTTAGTGCATGTAAATCAGGGGTGTCAAACTCAATTTCATCGCGGGCCACATCAGCATTATGGTTGCACTCAAAGGGCCGGTTGTAACTATATAAATATACATATATAAATATATAATATATATAAAATAATGTATTATATTACATTATTGCCTCTGAATTGGATTATTATCGGATAGGGTAATAATTAACTACGTCTGAAAGCAGAAGTCTAGGGCAAATAATTGCAAGTCTCTTCAGTGCGCATGTCACAAAACGAGATGCATTGTGGGACATGTAGTTTATGGGCAACCTGCTTCTGTAAAGTGGCATGTAACCGTATATTAAACGTATTATATTCTTTGCAAACTCTTGCGGGGCCACATAAAATGAAGTCGCGGGCCGGATTTGGCCCCCGGGCCTTGAGTTTGACACCCCTGATGTAAATGGTCTGCAAAGGCTACAATTCTGCTGCAAACTGATTACAATGATGCCGAATCCAGTTTAACAAGTGGTGGAAGTAGTACTCAGATCCTTTACTTGAGTACAAATAGTAATACCACAAATACTCTGCTACAAACAAAAGGACTGCACATTTATACGGCTGGATTATAAATGGTGATTTATTCATGTGAACATCATTTTAGTTTTGCAGCTAGTAAAGGTGGAGCTAACTGTAATAAGTTATACACTGCCAGGTATCTTTAGTCATTGTCATAATCTAATAGTTTATTTATTTACTTATAATTATATGAACCTGTATCGTAACAAAAGCTGCAAAATAAATGTAGTGGTGTAAATACTACGATATTTGCCTCCAAAGTTTAAAGTAGCATAAAATGGGAATTAGGAAAAGTAAAAAGTACCTCAAAAGTGTACTTGAGTAAATACATTTTTGTTTTATTCCACCAATGAGTGCCATGAGTTTCAAGATGATTATCTTTGCTTCTTCGGAAAAAGCAAAATGCCTGAAACTAAACCAAACACTTAACAAGAATAAGATCCATTAAAGTACCTTTGGAAAAAGTTAGAACGTTTTCCCAGAGAGGACAGAAACTCTTTAAAGTAGAGACACCACATACTGATATACACCTGAACATCAGCAGGGGAGGACTCTTTAAAGTAGAGACACTACATACTGATATACACCTGAACATCAGCAGGAGAGGACTCTTTAAAGTAGAGACACTACATACTGATATACACCTGAACATCATCAGGAGAGGACTCTTTAAAGTAGAGACACTACATACTGATATACACCTGAACATCAGCAGGAGAGGACTCTTTAAAGTAGAGACACTACATACTGATATACACCTGAACATCAGCAGGAGAGGACTCTTTAAAGTAGAGACACTACATACTGATATACACCTGAACATCAGCAGGAGAGGACTCTTTAAAGTAGAGACACTACATACTGATATACACCTGAACATCAGCAGGAGAGGACTCTTTAAAGTAGAGACACTACATACTGATATACACCTGAACATCAGCAGGAGAGCACTCTTTAAAGTAGAGACACTACATACTGATATACACCTGAACATCAGCAGGAGAGGACTCTTTAAAGCAGAGACACTACATACTGATATACACCTGAACATCAGCAGGAGAGGACTCTTTAAAGCAGAGACACTACATACTGATATACACCTGAACATCAGCAGGAGAGGACTCTTTAAAGTAGAGACACTACATACTGATATACACCTGAACATCAGCAGGAGAGGACTCTTTAAAGTAGAGACACTACATACTGATATACACCTGAACATCAGCAGGAGAGGACTCTTTAAAGTAGAGACACTACATACTGATATACACCTGAACATCAGCAGGAGAGGACTCTTTAAAGTAGAGACACTACATACTGATACACACCTGAACATCAGCAGGAGAGGACTCTTTAAAGTAGAGACACTACATACTGATATACACCTGAACATCAGCAGGAGAGGACTCTTTAATGGAAATTCAAAAATCAGTGAAAATCTGAGAAAGACATGTTGAAACCATGTAAAAAAACAAGTTTAGACAATCATAAAGGTGGTACAGTTACCTATTGTTGGTCTTGGATATAATACATAACATTATTATAGCCATGATCCAGCATAGCCTAAACAAAGAGACCTTAAAGCACTCAAAAGTATATCTTGTTCTAAACACTGTCATTTTAATGGTATAGTTTACAATACATGACTGATTTATGAGTTCCTTTGCTGTTAATGTGTAAAACAAAGTCTTCTGTGAGTGGTTTTTAGTGACTGTTTGACTTTAAAAAAGCTTGAAGCAGCTCATGGTCCCCTGGGAGACGCTGAGGAGAGACGGAGTTACCATCCTCACCCGATCATCCAGACCCAGAGGCAAGAATGTGAAACAACAGCCGAGGAGTCAGGAAAAAGCTCTGAGAGAGGAGCTGTAACCTAATACTGTTTACTTTATATAAGTCCTCCGCAGAGGTGGGAAGTAGTGGAGTACAAATACTTCGTTACTGTACTTGAGTACATGTTTCTGGTATCAGTACTTACTTACTCTTTCTGACTACTTTTTACTTTCTACTTCTTACATGTTGAACACAAATACCTGTACTTTCTACTTCTTACATGTTGAACACAAATACCTGTACTTTCTACTTCTCACATTTTGAACCCAAATACCTGTACTTTCTACTTCTTACATGTTGAACTCAAATACCTGTACTTTCTACTTCTTACATTTTGAACCCAAATACCTGTACTTTCTACTTCTTACATGTTGAACCCAAATACCTGTACTCTCTACTTCTTACATGTTGAACACAAATACCTGTACTTTCTACTTCTTACATGTTGAACCCAAATACCTGTACTTTCTACTTCTTACATGTTGAACTCAAATACCTGTACTTTCTACTTCTTACATGTTGAACTCAAATACCTGTACTTTCTACTTCTTACATGTTGAACTCAAATACCTGTACTTTCTACTTCTTACATTTTGAACCCAAATACCTGTACTCTCTACTTCTTACATGTTGAACACAAATACCTGTACTTTCTACTTCTTACATGTTGAACCCAAATACCTGTACTTTCTACTTCTTACATGTTGAACACAAATACCTGTACTTTCTACTTCTCTCATTTCCCAAACAGGCTGGTTCCTTTAGTTTGAATGTGTGTTTGGTGGCGTGATCATTATTATTTAGAGTCATTGCGTGCCTATTGATTTGAACACGATCCGTGTATCCATCATTTCCTGGTCTTCTCTAAAGAAGAGGGACCAATGAAAACGTTGTCATGTTGCCGTTGTTCAGCATGGAAACATTCATTAGCTAACAATGACATTATTGTTCTATTAATATAAAGATAGATAGATAGATAGATAGATCGTACTTTATTGATCCCAAATTGGGAAATTGTTTTTGTTACAGCAGCATAAAAGGCATTTTACAATAAAACAAAATATACAAGAATAGAAATAAAATAAAATAAAATATAAAATAAAATATAAAATATACATGTCAAAATACAAAATAGAAAATATACATACAGATATTATATATATATATATATATATATACAAATATACAAATATATATATATTCAAAATATATGGAATTATGGAGTATTAAATATGAAACAGATTATGTGTGAGTAAAATGTACAAGGTGGTTTTATTTCTAGAGAAACTATGGAGCAGAGAGTTCTCTTCCAGCCAGAGGTGATTTGTTGTACAGAGTTATTGCAGTGGGCAGGAATGTTTTCCAGTATCTGTCCTTGAGACAGCAGTCTGTTGGAGAAGGAGCTCCGTTGACTGTCCAGCTGCAGGTGGAGAGGATGGGTGGGGTTATCCATGATGGACAACAGTGTCCTGTTCAGTGTCCTCCTCTAAAGGGAGGTCAGGTACTCTTTAAAACAGCTGCTAGTTATGGGTACTTTTTACTGAAGTACATTTGAAAGCCCTCTTTACTTTGACTTCAGTAAAGAAGTTTAGTCAGTACTTCTACTTTCACCAGAGTATTTTTAAACACGAGTATCTGTACTTCTACTTGAGTAAAGGATGTGTGTACTTTTGCCATCTCTGGTCCTCCCTTATTTGTGTGGGTTTAACCTCCTTTTTGCTGCAAGACGTCACTGCAAACTGTTTCAAAATGAAGCTCAAACACACACCAGAACTCCCTGTACTCTGATACTCATGTGTTTCAGTGTCAGGCTACTGCCTGAATCTGCTTCATTAAAGGCAGGTTTTCCTATAAATACAATCATTTCTAACCCTAAATATCTTGGTTTCTTCTTGTCTAAGGTCACATTGTTCTGTTGTCTTACATAATACACTTCAGTAAAAAACATCTTAATGATATTTCTGTTCACTTGTATTTATCTGCATTGTATTTGATATTGAGGTAATCCAAAAGCAACAGAAAGTAATCAGGTTACATTACTTTTATATTTGAATACTCATAAGGTCACTGATTATATTTGTTTCGCAGGTAATTGGCAATTGTTACAGAATACATTTGTAAAGTAACCCTCCCATTGTGCTGTGGATGTATCTCTGCTGTAGAGGGCGACAAAAGGACAAATATATCAGCTTTAAAAAACAACAACATATATATTGTGCGAACAAATTAACGTGGGGAGGATTTAATTACATTTCAGTCTCTTAGATAGAGAGAGAGAGAGAGAGAGAGATAGATAGATAGATAGATAGATAGATAGATAGATAGATAGATAGATAGATAGATAGATAGCTAGATAGCTAGATAGCTCGCTCGCTCGCTCGGATGCTAGATCGATCGCTCGATCGCTCGCTCCCGCTTAGCTAGCTCGCTCGCTCGATCGACTCGCTAGCTCGCTCGCTCGCTCGCTCTGCTCGCTCGCTCGCTGCTCGCTCGCTCGCTCGCTCGCTCGCTCGCTCGCTGCTCGCTCGCTCGCTCGCTCGCTCGCTCGCTCGCTCGTCGCTCGCTGGCTCGCTCGCTCGCTCGCTCGCTCGCTCGCGCGCTCGCGCTCGCTCTCGCTGGCTCGCTGGCTCGCTGCTGCTCGCTCGCTCGCTCGCTCGCTCGCTCGCTCGCTCGCTCGCTCGCTCCTCGCGCGCTCGCTCGCGCTCGCTCGCTCGCTGGCTCGCTGGCTCGCTCGCTCGCTCGCTCGCTCGCTCGCTCGCTCGCTCCTGCTCGCTCGCGCGCTCGCTCGCTCGCTCGCGCTCTCGCGCTCGCTCGCTCGCTGGCTCGCTGGCTCGCTCGCTCGCTCGCTCTCTCGCTCGCTCGCTCCTCGCTCGCTCGCTCGCTCGCCTCGCTCGCTCGCGCTCGCTCGCTCGCTGGCTCGCTGGCTCGCTCGCTCGCTCGCTTCGCTCGCTCTCGCTCGCTCGCTCGCTCGCTCGCGCTCGCTGCCTCGCTGGTCTCTGGCTCGCTCGCTGGCTCGATGATGCTGATAGATGGATAGGTACTTCTATTGATCCCAATTTGGGTAATATTTGCGTTGCAGCAGCATAAAAAATGTACAGATAAAGTAAGACACTAGAAATAAACAGGACACAATATTTCGGAAATAGAAATAAAATAGCATTAAAAAGTTAAAAAAATAAATATATATAGGCTACATACAATACAAATGTCTTATTTGATTTGATTTAAGTATTATATATTGTAAAGACAAACCAATCAATCTGGGCATCTATTTTTACCATGTCAAAGATGGATTACCAGACAATAGTAGCAGGCAGTGTGTATCCAATGGTTTAAGGTAATTTATTTCAAATATGTGTGAAAATGCAACACAAAGTAAATCACAATAGACTATCAACCATAGACAACTGGAACAATATAAGGCAGACCAAAGACTGCAAAGCTATGGCACCTGAAAACTAGACAACTTTGCAAATTTGGAAAAAAAATTGGAAATGGGGAACAGGTGATCACGTGATCAGGTGATGGGAATGGCGGGACAGTGATTCCTGCAGAACAGGAAGGAGTGGCTGGATTTTTACATACTGTATGTGTCATAGAAAACAGAGAGAGAACAATGATTAAAAAACAAAGAAGAAGAAGTCTTAATGTTTGGGATTCGGCTGAAGTCGTGACCAGATAGGAGCTTAAATTAGATAAAATGAAAGAAAAACAAACCGGCATACTTTGATGAGTCATTGGCTGTGATTATATCAGTTCAAACTGCAAGTTGAGTTGTGTCGTCCCCTAGTGGCGAAATGGCTCTGGTGCACCACTTCACTGAGAATAAACACCAACTTGTATAATTTATATATTATATGTCTCTGTGCCTTTAGTATAAATCTATATTTCCGGTGCTGTAACAACATAATTTCCCAATTTGGGATCAATACAAATCTATCTATCTATCTCTCTCTCTCTCTCTCTCTCTCTCTCTCTCTCTCTATCTCTCTATCTCTCTCTCTCTCTCTCTCTCTCTCTCTCTCTCTCTCTCTCTCTCTCTCTCTCTCTCTCTCTCTCTCTCTCTCTCTCTCTCTCTATCTATCATGGAAGAACGAACTAAACTTTTTTCTCATTATTTGACTTATTTATGTTACTTGTATAGAGCCTTACTTTGTGGTCAATGATTGTTAGTCTTTGTGTTTGTAATTTTTAAGGAGTAAACTGTTTATTTTATTTGATCTCTAAACTGTATTTGCACCATTCAATGGTATTGGCTGAAAATAAGTGCCTCAAACGTTTGTAAATGACTCTTGGTTAATAAAGTATATTAAAAAAAACGTAAGAATGACCGGTGTACGCCAGCATATGAAACAATCGCACCTTCAGCCATTAGTGTAACGTGATTGGCCTTATTGAGAAAACCAGGTAGACAAAACGCCTCAGTATTGGCTATAATTCAGAATCCCTTCCCTATGTCGCTTCTGATTGGTCCATAACTCACTGGACTTTGATTTGATTGGTTGGCTGTCTCGCAGAAGGGGCGGGTTGTCAGGTTTGGTTGTGGAGCTGAAACCGGTAACCGAGCACTCCACAGCACGTTGTGAAGCCGCTACTGGTGATTCAAAGAAATCACTTGTTTCTAAATCCTCCACGTTTTTGAAAATTAACCCACTGGTAAGTCTTGCTTTTGGCTAAACTGTCATTCATTTTCGTTTAAAAGTAGCGTGTGGTTTTCCTTGTATTCGGTGGATTAGCCGGGTTCGTGGCTCCGTCTACATCCTGGAGAGGACATGATTAGCAGGGCTATGGTTGATTAATTAAACCCTCTTATGGAGTTAATTTCTTTAAAATAACCAACCGGTGATGCAGTAGTCGTGAATATGTTGCATTATCAGGTTATAGCCATCGCCATTATTGCAAAGTTTCACTTTGGTTGTCCAGAAAATACCCACCGCCCTTGTACTACATTAGCTTAATTCTAGCTCTCATTCAGTCGTGACTCCCCTCCCTCCTTTCATGCCTTTTTTTAACCGTCTTGCCCATCGACTTTTCCCTCCATGATAGATAAGTTACGATTATACTTCCCTGCACAATTTCCCCATGTCAGTTAAATGTGTCCCCTTCTACCTGGTTAATCTAGCTTTGCAGGAATGGAAAGTGGGGCCGATTCCCGGCCAGGACACGTGTTGGGGCTCCAGATCGTAGCCGGTTTCTGCCCTACTTTTCGGGCTCTATTCTCACCCAGCTGTCCCGGTTTAACTCGGTTGTGAGCCAGCTATGGTGCAATTTTAACCCAGGTTTATATCTGGACATGTTCCACTAAAAGAAGGACCACATGGCCGGTGCTGAGGGTGTTTTCAGGCCGGTGAAAAGCACCGTTTCTGCGGGCACGGCGTGGCCTTTGTCTGCATGCCATGCTTTACACTTTTTTTTTTTTTAAACACAAGCTGCTTTCTGAAATGACTGCTGCTTTATGCCCTTATAAGCACTTAATATCTCCAAATTCACTTGGATCCATTCTAGCTAAAGCAGGTGGTGTTGAGTAACTAAGTACATTTACTCAAGTACTATACTTAAGTAACATTTTATGGTACTTTGTACTTCTACTCCACTGCAATTCAGTGGAAAAATTCAACTTTTACTCCAGTAAAGGTGCAGATATAGCTAAATACTTTACTACAATTGGGAACTTATTTTGTCACAGCAGTAGGGTTATCAAGCATTTACATTAGACATATTTAAAATATAGAATAAAGTACACACATTGCACACCTGGAGTAAATCCACAAGCTACCCTGCAGTATACAAAGTCATTCAAACTAGCTGCACCTTTACCAGCTTTGAGAACACTTTCATGATCAATCATTATAAAACATATCATATATATTATTCTGAAATGGACCAATCTGCACAATGACTACTTTTACGCTACTTTCACTATATTTTGATGATAATATTTTTCTACTTTTACTTGAGGAACATTTTGAATTCAGGACTTTTACTGTAACAGAGTATTCCTACACTCTGGTACTTCTACGTTTACAACAAGACCCGAGTACTTCTACTTTTACTCAAGTACAAGATGTGAGTACTTCTACTCAAGTTCAAGATCTGAGTACTTTTAATCAAGTGTACTACCTCCATCTAAACCCCCCTCCCTGATGTTAGCAGCTAACATTAGACATGAGGCTCCTTCAGGTCGCCTCTCTAAACAGTGATCGGCTTATCCTGATGGATCACTTGATGTATGCTGCTGTGTGTGTGTGCCAGCACAACAGATGGTCCTGTGTGTGTGGACAGGTGTGGCACATAGTCCATTAATGAAGATCATGCTAGTGTGTTAGCATGTTTAAGCTTCTCTACAGCTGATAATGTAAACCTAACGCTACAGAGTTTAACATTTGATGCTAGTTTTACTCTAGACATCTATTAGTGTCCTATAATCAAAAATCAAAGGTTATTTATGCAGCTCAATAGCCCAAATTGTACATATGTCACAGGGGGCTTTACAGTTTATACAGAATACATATACGACACCCTGATGATAATGGTATCGTTAGGCCTGCACTGAACAGAGCCATTATAGGACATTTTGTTTCATTCCTATATGATCTGACTTATTGTTGGAAATGCTCACTAGCTCTCGCTCTAAATTATTCACACTAAAGTTTTGAGTAACGTTGTAGAATAAATTATAGCGGTCTAATGATGGGCAATCGACCCAAAAACAAAAGCTTTAATTTTGAAATTGGCACCTTGAGTTCAATAATATCTCCGTCCATACATTATCCTAATCATCAAATCATAATTGAATTGCTTTTGTGTGAACGTAGCTGATTGTGTTAAAGCAGCCTATGAAATCGTCTTAAATGGGTCAGAGGCTCCTGCGATGAGTCGTAGTGTTTGTGATGTCTGCCAATAATCTGTCATGTAATATATTTCACGGTAGAAACGTGTGACTCAACCCCCGTAGGATCTATGTTGCTCAACAGTTACTATGCATCCAGAAAGTGAGCCAGTAACCAAAGCATAGAATATTACCTACATTTAAGACTTTTTCGACTACCAACTCCAGGCCGAATATTATCCATTACATCTTAAAAGCATGTCTCAATATTCAAACATATTCTCCACATGTAGAACAAATGTGTGAAATCAGTGTAAACAACTCTGATCTGTCATCACTGATTAATCAGCGCAGTGTAAACATAGAGGAGAAATCAAATGGGAACAAAATGTCCTGTGTGTCGAGTTCAGGCCAGGAAACTGAGTCTGGTTTCTCCTCATCGTTCATCTGCCTTTCTACCATTCAGTATCATCAATTAAACAAACCTCATGTGGCAATTTAGGACTGGGCAGTGATTTAAATTTGATATAGACTTTCAATGGATTCATGCCATGTATCGTGTTGCACAATAACATCGCTATGTTCATAATAAGCTCAAATTTCTCAACAAAATCCAATTAAAAGTCAAATTTAGATCCTAAAACACTTCTTTATTGGTCTGCAAACTCATATATTTGTTCTATACGTCTACTGGCATGTTAATTTTGCACTAATTAAACAAGAAAATACACATTATTTCATTCACAAAGTAGTATACAAATATAGGCGTAACCATACAGTCGTGTTATATTGACTATTTCTTTCTTGAATTACCATAAAACATGCTTAAAGTGGCTATATATTAAGATTTGAAGTTACCTGTATTGGTAGATTTTGGCCATATTGATCTGCCTTAAAAATGGAAACCCATTAACATAGGTTTTAATTTGGTATTTTAAGGGTAAAGACACCAAAATAAAACAATATCCAGCTTATTTCAGTAGATATTATAGGCCTAAAAGTCTAACCTCTTCTTCAAAAAGCATACATTTATGATGTTGTATGCTTTCTAAAAGAGCATTGGGTTAATTGTAAAGTAAAAGACAGTGTAGGAAGGCTTTCTGTTGAAGTGCAATGACTGCAATTCCAGATTTCTATCCGCTCCGTATGAAAACAAACGGATAAGATCTGGGTTTGTTTTCCAGGCCGAGGGCGCTCTGTTTTCATGTGGGTGATTCCAGATGGGACGGTGAATGCATGTCAGTTTTTGTATTTATTTATTTTTTACAGATCGTACACTCCTCATACCTCAGGCTTTTTAACGCGGTCCAAAAAATATGAATTAAAAATGAGAGTTGTGTATTCTAGGCTTTGAATCAGAGGTCTAAACCCTGCTTCACACTTCTAACCGTGCGTGTGATTGGCTGTGACTTCTGTCCAATCAGACGGATGATTTTACATTTTCAGAAGTGTAATGGAAAATGCAGACTGGTGCATATGGGATGTAGTGTGGTGAGGGAATGAGTCCTAAAACTGGAAAATTGGATGCTTTTTAACACTTCCTGACCCCGAGTCTGGAAGTCAATTGTTTTCTGAGTGTTTTTGGTTGTTGGCATGAAATAAGGTCTGTGGTTAACACGAGCTGAAGAGATTTTAACGTTTGGTTTCTAACAAGTGTCTAATAGAGACGACTAAAGGTTATCACGCCCAACATTAGCCGCCTTTAGCTTAGCGGTGGTGAAGTCATGTGACCGTGCTGTAGTTCCTTTATAGCCCAACATTAGCCACCTTTAGCTTAGCGGTGGTGAAGTCATGTGACCGTGCTGTAGTTCCTTTATAACCCAACATTAGCCACCTTTAGCTTAGCGGTGGTGACGTGAAGTCATGTGACCGTGCTGTAGTTCCTTTATAACCCAACATTAGCCACCTTTAGCTTAGCGGTGGTGAAGTCATGTGACCGAGCTGTAGTTCCTTTATAGCTCGGTGTTAAGTGGTGTGAACTGTTTCAGCACTAGATGTACACAAAAGGCAGTTATCTGATTCTCTCTTGGGCTCATTATCTTCCTCTAACCCTCCTCTTCCTCCTTGCAGAGATTTCCAGTTGACCAAAGAAATGGTGATGGAGAAGCCAAGTGCCCAGCTGGTCGGGCGAGAGTTTGTCCGACAGTATTACACACTCCTGAACCAGGCGCCCGACTACCTGCACAGGTGAGAACACACATCTTTAGTTGCAGCATCCATTTTACGTTATACTAATACACATATGAGCTATACAGAGTACAAATACAGGTGCTATATACACACATTAAATAAAAAGATGACAAAACAATAATGATAATACCATAAAAAGACCGTTACAGTAATGGCAATGAAAAAAATGTACAATGACAACCCCTAAGACCATCCTGTATCGAAAGTGATCATGGCGTCCTCGTCGTCAGGTCATTGATAGTACAGGAAGATGAAGCTGGAAGCCTTTCCCGTGTTTGAAGGATTCTCCGTTCCTATCAGACCCTGGCGCTCCCAAACATTTGTTGTTCATGTGGACGTAAGAGTTAAATGCAAGTAACGCGTCTTACATTCGAGTCTTGGTTCTCACGGACATGGACTTTGGCGAGGGACGTCCGTGTTTGGTTTTTGGTCGCTTCTGTGTTTTTAATCAGAATGCGTTTCATGTAAATGTTCTCTCTGTGGGACTAATGGCGCTTTTCCACTGCAGGGCCTCGCACGGCTTAGTACGGTATAGGTAGGCCTTGGTAGGCCAGGCTCACTTTATGCTGCGTTTCCATTACAGTTTAGTAGCTGGGGCAGTAACTATAGTAACGCAGCTCAGGGCCATCTCCCAAAATCCTTAATGTCATGCACTGCTGCGTTAGCTTAGCCGATCTCCATTTAGAAAACAAGCATTTTAAAAGGTGTGTCGCCTGCCGTCTGTCTGCAGACTTGTCAAAGCATTAATTCATGGTTTTTACTAACCGGTATCAGTATGTTGTTACTTCGGCATCATTTTGAAACGTGTATTACAATTAAATCACGGTCAAATATGTTCATTTAGTTGTAGTTGTAGCTAGGGCTGTGCAATTAATCGTATTTTAATCGCAATTACGATTTTGGCCTGCCACAATTATGAAAACAACATAATCGAAAAAAACAATTATTTTGCTTTGCTTGGTTGTGACAGTGCAACATATTTGATCTAATTAATTTTGGTCTCATTTATTTGTATTTATCATATTTATATATGTTTAGTAGCTTGGGGAAGTGCGCTCCCAAATATTTGTTGATCTTGTTTATTGGTATTTATTATTTTGATATTTATTTAAATGTATCATTTATTTTTGTATTGGTTTTTCAGTTGAATTATACGTTCAGGGTAATCAACAGTTAAAAATATACTGTTCAAATTATTGTTTGTATTTGTTTTAAAGTTCAATAAATGGATGTTTTCAAAGTCAATGAATAATCGTATCTAATAATCGTGATATCAATTATTGACCAAAATAATCGTGATTATGATTTTTGCCATAATCGCACAGCCCTAGTTGTAGCCCCCTTGCCAGCGATTCTCTCTGACCATTCAGCAGTCGAGAGTGTTTACGTCACTAGTTCAGCATATTCAGCCCGGTAAGAACCTCGATTTTGGAGGGCCAGAAAAAAGGTGAAAAAGTAGCCCTGAGTCGGAACTAGCCCGAATGGAAAAGCAACAAAAACCCGGCCCGCTTAAACCGTGCTAGGCCCTGCAGTGGAAAAGCGCCATAACGGGGGTGTTCTGATTTAAAAACATGGAGGTGATTCTGGGCCGGACATGGATGTCCTTCGCTGGGGTCTATGTGTGAGAATTAAACTTGAATTTAATGTTTATATTCTGGTGTGTTGTCAATGCTCAGGTACGTGTTATTTGACACTATGAAGACGTTGTAAACATAGGAATATCTGACATGATTGTGGTGTTGGAGGCGTGTGGCGCAGTGGATAGAGCGTTGGTGTTCGGATCAGGGGAGCACAGGTTCAAACCCCACTGCAGTCAGCATGTGTCCCTGAGACACTTCACCCCAAATTGCTCCTGTGGGGATTGCCCACAGTATTGAGTATGTAAGTCGCTTTGGATAAAAGCATCTAACATGTAATGTGTTACAGACTGTTTTAAGTGACGTTCCTCGTGGTCTAAACACGACGGTTCAAAGTGTTTTGGACAGAATATTGACGGAAAGATTGTGATTTTTTTTCCTCCTGCTTTCAGATAGAAGTTAGTCAAAAGAAAAAAAAACGTCATTAAAGTACTTATCTTAAATGGTCCTGAAACTAATGAACCTTTCTGTGTTTCTGCTCAGGTTTTATGGAAAGAATTCGTCCTACGTTCACGGCGGTTTGGACAACAACGGCAAACCAGCTGAGGCTGTTTATGGACAATCTGTAAGTGGATTTATCAACAGTTTTTATACCGAGAGACTCTCTGCACTTCACTCCCACACACCAGTGAAGAGAGGAACACAAAAAACACACAGAGCGGTTTCCTGGAGCCTCCTTTGTCTGAAAAAGACATGTTGTCAGTCTCCTCTTCTTTCTGTTATAACGGCGATTTAACACTGAGTTTCGTAGACATTTGAAAACACGGTTATTTTGACTTAACATGTGTCCTTAACCTGTTGAGGGGGCTGCAGGTTTTTTTTCACGAAACTGTGTCTCAGGGCTTCTTAACATTTAACAACCTATTAATGTTCCATACTCACTTAACGGGAAGAAACTCAGCTAACTGACGATACGAACCATTTTTACCGAAACACAACACAAGTCTCACAAGAAGCGTCTAAATGAGCCCCGAGCAAAAAAATGCTACGCACTTAGCAGAGAACTCACGGTAACAATACCCTTATTACTTATCGTAACTGCACAAACAAAATATTAACTAGCAAGCTGAGATTCCACAGATTCCAGAAATATAAGTATCATCTCTGAGCGATCAGAACACGTGACAGGGGAAGCAAACACAGACATCACAACACGTAGCATTACGGAGCTTTCACGGGACATCGTCTTACCTTGGCCGTTGTTCTGATCAAAAGTCGTGTTCAATGGCATTAAAACGATAAAAACGCTTCTGAAGGTTAATCCATAGGTTAATCCAATGTGTCTGTCACTTTGAAATGATTACTGATAATCCATCTTTCCATTTTTATGTCGAAAACGGAGATTTCATATTAGCTGCTAATGATAGCCACCAGAGTGTGTCGCAGCTTCCGGTCCGGGGGCATTCTGGCTGCGCAGCACTCATTCACCAATGGGTAATGTTTAGATGGATTTTAGGAACTTCCCTTCGATTCTATTGGCTCTAACGGTTAAAAAGAGCTGTCAACCATCAAAATCGAGCAAGGGAAGCCAGAGATATGGAAAATCCACCCAAATGACCCCAGAAGTGTTTTTTTTTTCTAAATCTCTCTTAAAAAGGTCAAATGTCACTTGTTTTACATCAATCTTGATACAGGGTACTTATTATGTTATAGTTTGGATTCCTAAAGCTTTTAGTCTACTAACCCATCATTCAAGGGTGGTTTTCACTATAAGTAATGTTTTCTTTTTTTGGACGGACACTATAATTTACATTTTTTTTTACTATGTTCCATCTGAATTTACATTAAAATAAAAAAAATCTATATTGATTCTGACTTTTATACATCCAACTCACAGGTTTATCATTGCTTTGAGAACAAATATTATTAATTTACATTGAACAATAATGATAATACCATAAAAAGACCGTTACAGTAATAGCAATGAAAAAAATATACAATGACATGACAGAAGACCATCCTGTATCGAAAGTGATCATGGCGTCCTCGTCGTCAGGTCATTGATAGTACAGGAAGATGAAGCTGGAAGCCTTTCCCGTGTTTGAAGGATTCTCCGTTCCTATCAGACCCTGGCGCTCCCAAACATTTAGAATAAAAGATTAAACAAAGTGACTTTTTTAGACGTGAAGACAGTGTTTGTTGTTCATGTGGACGGAAGAGTTAAATGCAAGTAACGCGTCTTACATTCGAGTCTTGGTTCTCATGGACATGGACTTTGGCGAGGGACGCCCGTGTTTGGTTTTTGGTACATCCAACTCACAGGTTTATCATTGCTTTGAGAAAAAAGATTATTAATTTACCCCTTTTTAGAAGTGAATGTCATTTTCGAGCCTGAAACCTGAAAAACAGGCTCAGGGCTCAACAGGTTAAAGTAGGTAGTTTCCTTTGCCTGTATCTCTTCTTAAAGGGGACCTATCATGCAAAATGCACTTCTGTACGTCTTTTCTACATGAATATGTGTCCCCGGTGTTCCAGGGAACTCACCAAGTGTCAGAAAACACAACCCTCTCTATTTTCCTCCATATCCAAATCTCTAAAAAAGGGGCTGCAACGGATCTGATAAAAACTGATCCAGATTTGAACACTGTCCTGACGTCAGGACGGTGGCGCTACGGCTATTGGGCCGACTCCACCAATCAGGAGGAGACAACCACGGCCATTGCCGTTCGAAAGCGCTGGAGACGCTGTAGTACATATGCCAGGCCAGTAGGTGGTGCTGTTCTCACTGAATCAGCCCTTGCTAAAACAGAGCTAACATTTTTCAAATTGAGCGAAATGAGGCATGGCTAAAATGCATGATCTGTTTGGTATTTTAAAAAAAAAGTATAAATATGCCTTATATAGGTATGGTCCTACACTATATTATTATAATATAGCATGATAGGGCCACTTTAAATAAGATCTAAAATGAGTAAAGGACAAATATAAGCATACAGTCGTATTTGACTTTCTTTCTGGAATGACCATAAAACAGGCTAACTTTAGCTATATATCAAGATTTGACGTTGCCTGTATTGGTAAATGTTTGCCCATATTGCTCCGCCTCAATAGAAATCCAATAAAATAGGTTTTTAGAGTAAACGCCACCAAAATAAAACAATATCCAGTTCTTTTCAGTAGATGTAATGGGCCAAAACGTACCCAACCTCTACCAAAAGCATCAATTTAAAAACGCTCATAGTGAGTTTCGTAGACACTTAAACACGGTTATTTTTACTTATCATGTGTCTTTAAAGTAGGTTGTTTCCTTTGCCTTTATCTCTTCTTAAATGAGACGTACAATGAGGGAAAAGTGTGAACTGAAGCAATATTAGCGGCAGAGACAGTGTGCCATGACATAAAATCACCAGTAATATATTGTACGATTTAACAATGTGTCACGGCATTATAATACGAGTTTGTTCATCAAAAAAGCATCACACTTACTGAGAAGTTAGTCAAAACTGTGCGTCTCAATGCCGGAAAAACCCATCGTCAGCACTACGACAGCAGCAGAAATATAGAAAAACGCATTATTTTGCAAAGATATCAATATTTTAAGGCAATATCACCAACGTCTTATATCCAGCAGTGCAGAATAAAGTGAAGTCCGCACTGCTGCTGCATTTTTAAGTGGTATATAAATGTCTAATACTTGGAAAAAGCCAGAGCAGCAAATCTTCTTGACGTGCATTATTAGATTTCTCTGAATGTGTTGAATGTGCACTTTTAAAAAAACACAGGTTACAATAAAAGCATCTAAAATGAAACTCTTCTGTCCTGGTTGTTGTTGTTGTTGTTGTTGTTGTTGTTGGGAAATGTACTCTTCCAATATCAGAGTCCACATGATAACAAAGGTACCCCAACTGTAGCTGTGAACATGACAGGATGTATGATTACCTAGAAGAGCATCAGGACTGTTTGAGGCATATGATAGCTATGTGATTAACATGATGATTCAGCCTCTATGGAGATAGACATATGACAAGCATGCTCATTTCTGACGTGGAGCTAATCTGAAGTAAACATTGAATACTGCTTTCTATTCCTCCATCTTGTGACTGTGTAACTCCCTCTCTTGGATATCAGCATGTGAAGGACACTGTTCAGGAACTAGTTGATGCTCTGTATGTGATGACTACTTCCATTCTGGAGAGGATCAGGAATACATGGATCCTGAGAAAAGGTCCAGATTTTGAGAAAGTCAGAATTTGAGATTTTGAGAAAAAGTCAGCATTTTGAGATGTTAAAGGTCCCATGTCATGCTTTTCTGGTTATCACCCGTCCTCTTGTGTTATGAAGGTTTTTCTGCATGTGAACGGTCTGCAGAGTCACAAACCCTCAAAGTGCACCCTGTAGCGAGTAAAACTCTAACACAGAAAATACCTGTCTATGCTGCCCCAGAACGCCTCGTTGGGGATTTCTCATTTTCCATTGTTTACTTCTTGGGTATAGTGACGTATTTCGGGTATATAGTGACGTAACCTAACGGCTCCGCATATTGGTCCATTTCCGCGGAGCCGTTACGTTTGGACCAATCCGCGGACTTCCTCACACACACACACACACAGCGGGACGTTGCGAGGCTCCCAGCCAGGCTGTGGGTGTGTTTCGCGCTGGGTTTCGCTGTGTCTCGCTGTCTCTCAGACGTCCACTGGGCTCACAGGGAGGGGGGGGGGGCAGGAGCTCCAACAAGCCGTTTAGGACAGAGAGTGGATACACATACTATACAGAGATGCTGAATGAGAAACCAATGTGAGTTTGGAAAATTGAACAATATTAATCTATTTTAGTAGACCTCAACAATGGAATTATGATCAGTAGAAATGGCCATGACATGGGACCTTTAAGAAAAAGTCAGAATTTGGAGATTTTGAGAAAAAGTCAGAAACAATGTATGATTACCTACAATAACTGGTATTCCTCCATCTTGTGACGGTGTAACTCCCTCTCTTGTATATCAGTTGTATATACTTTCCATTGATTCCCTCTCTCTCCTCTTTCCCTCAGGAGATCCATAAGAGGGTAATGGCTCTGAGTTTCCGCGACTGTCACACTAAGATCCGACACGTTGACGCTCACGCGACGCTGAACGAGGGCGTGGTGGTGCAGGTGATGGGAGAGCTGTCCAACAACATGCAGCCCATGAGGAAGTTCATGCAGACCTTCGTTCTGGCACCAGAGGTCAGTTTAACACTTCAAATTCAATCTCAAAGGTTTGGTAACACTTTATTTGAAGGTTCACTTATTCACTATCAACTAGTGTTCGTTAACATATTAGAGTCAAACTACTTGCTTATTGGTTATGAACAAGACTTCACTTTAAAAAAGGGAACATATTCTGAGTTAGAAATACGTCATTTTGAGTTATTTTGACACAATTAACACTTTTAGTTTCATGTCTTGTTACCTAAGAATAGATCATATTTGTTAGGTGATATTATGGGAGAACTACTATTCTTGTGGTACTGCTGCTTTATTAGGCCCATATTGAGCAGAGTATATTACAGGGTTCTTACGGTCATTAAAAACCTGGAAAAGTCATGGAAATTCAAAACGCTAATTCCAGGCCCTGGAAAAGTTATGGAAAACAATATTTTTCCCAAAGTCATGAAAATGTAACTGAAGTTGCATCAAATATAATTTATATTTGATCTAATCGCCAAAATAGTAATACTATGATGATAATAAATACTGTATAGTAATGAAACGTAAAATGGTATTTTGCTGGTGAGAGATTTTAGTTGCTTTAGCCTGTAGGAGCTAGTAAGCCGATTTGTTTTAGATGTTTCAGACCTTATTTTCCTGTTCCATGTTAAAATAAACCATTTTCAGTGGTACCGCTGAGACAGAGTAATTTTTTTGGTCATGGACAAGTCATTGAAAATCATTGGTGAAAAAGTGTATGAACCCTGATGTAAATAGAATATGATATCTACAAGAACAGAATGTGAAATAATGTACATTAAGACTAAATTAAATACGGTTTATTGCGATAACTATTTATATAAGTAAGTAGATTGCAAGATGACAAACAGATGAATGTTTATCATGGCCTTCTAGACCCTTTACAGTCAGGGTTTGGCATCCTTAGGTTGAAATACATGTGTATTTTTGGGTGTTTTCTTGCAGGAAACGTTGATGTAGTGTTTAACGTTATTTGTTCGTCCTGCAGGGAACTGTTGCGAACAAATTCTACGTTCACAACGACGTGTTTCGTTACCAAGACGAGGTGTTCGGAGACTCCGATTCAGAGCCTCCAGAAGGTGAGAGAACGCCCATCTTTTTAAATGTTTCTTAGGTTATAATTGTTGATGCTTCACCAGGTTTCTCTTTCCTGTTGCCTTGTCTTCTCCTTTTTAGATATGATCCTTTACCTTGCATTATTTGGCTAAAGATGGTTACTTCAGAGTTGTTTTCTTTAGAAATGTCACAACGTGTATAAACACCGTAGCATCTTAGATTTGATTGGTCTTTGTACCTCTCAAAGAGCCTCTCAATGTTTGTGAATATTAGGTGAAAGGTACATAAAGAAACAAAACCAACGTGAGGTCAAAACAGGTCCACGGTTCCTGCAGCTTATTAAGCCGACCAGTTGTGCTGTCAGTGCGTTTCTGGTGTGCAAAGGCTGCACACAGTGAATCTTTGGTTTGTGTAAGAACTCAGCTGGGAGGTGCTGAGTGCTTTAAGGGACCACTGAGACAAAAGAAAAATCTATCTATCTATTTATCATCTATCCATCTATCTACCTACCTATCTACCTACCTACCTACCTACCTACCTACCTACCTATCTACCTATCTACCTACCTACCTACCTACCTACCTACCTACCTATCTACCTATCTACCTATCTACCTATCTACCTATCTACCTATCTACCTATCTACCTATCTACCTATCTACCTATCTACCTATCTACCTATCTACCTATCTACCTATCTACCTATCTACCTATCTACCTATCTACCTATCTACCTATCTACCTATCTACCTATCTACCTATCTACCTATCTACCTATCTACCTACCTATCTACCTACCTACCCTACCTACCTACCTACCTACCTACCTACCTACCTACCTACCTACCTACCTACCTACCTACCTACCTACCTACCTACCTACCTACCTACCTACCTACCTACCTACCTACCTACCTACCTACCTACCTACCTACCTATCTATCTACCTATCCATCTATATATAAAATTATGTATTATATTACATTATTGCCTCTGCATTGGATTATTATCAGATAGGGAAATAACTTCCTAAATAACTCCGTCTGAAAGCAGAAGTCTAGGGAAAATAATTGCAAGTCTCTTCAGTGCGCATGTCACAAAATGAGATGCATTGTGGGACATGTAGTTTATGGACAACGTGCATCTGTAAAGCCGCATGTAACCGTATAATAAACTCATTATATTCTTTGCAAGCAACATAAAATGAAGTCGCGGGCCGGACTTAAGTTTGACACCCCTGCTATAAAGCGTCATGAAGTGTTGCATTGTGGGTTTCTTGGGATAGTTTTCAGAGTTCAATAGAAATGGGGTTATTTTTGTTTTCCTGGTCATGTTTTTATTGTTTGTGTGTTTCCAGAGTCTGAGGATGAGGTGGAGGAGATCGAGGAGAGGATCCCCTCCCCCGACATCGCTCAGGAGGACTCGGCTCCTTTCTACGACCCCACACCCTGGTGAGGATCTTTGACTTCCTGTTAGGGCTTTATCTGAGGTTGTGGAGAACAATTGTCCCCCAAAAAAATCAGTAGAATCAGCAGATATTTTCCTTCCAGTTCAGAACCGACGGCCCCCGGAGACGATGAGGAAGTTGCAGCGAGTCCAGAACCAGAACCTGAGGAGGAGAAGGAGGTCGAGGTCGTGGAGCTGAAGCCTGAAACGCCGCTGGAGACGCAAACGGAAACAAACACATCGGACGAGCAGACGGAGAAAAGCCCGGCCGCCGCCCCCCCCCACAGCTGAACCCATCACCACCGAACCAACACCTGCCGCTCCAGAAGAAAACAGGGTACGTCTGAACATGGTGCATTGGAGGGAAATAGTTGTGCACAGAGGATGTATTTGTGTAGTCCGATCCAGAAGGAAACATCTCCCTGGTTCCCTCCACCAAAAAATCTATTTCTCCACTTGATTTTGGATTGTTGCAGAAAATGACAAACGTTTATGATCCTTACAAGTTTAGTTCATCAGGATAATCTCCACACATTAACACCAGTTTATGATTCCTGAAGTAAAAAGCTAATGTTGGGCTATAAAGGAACTACAGCACGGTCACATGACTTCACATCACCAATGCTAAGCTAAAGGTGGCTAATGTTGGGCTATAAAGGAACTACAGCACGGTCACATGACTTCACGTCACCACCGCTAAGCTAAAGGTGGCTAATGTTGGGCTATAAAGGAACTACAGCACGGTCACATGACTTCACGTCACCACCGCTAAGCTAAAGGTGGCTAATGTTGGGCTATAAAGGAACTACAGCACGGTCACATGACTTCAGGTCACCACCGCTAAGCTAAAGGTGGCTAATGTTGGGCTATAAAGGAACTACAGCACGGTCACATGACTTCACGTCACCACCGCTAAGCTAAAAGAGGCTAATGTTGGGCTTTAAAGGAACTACAGCACGGTCACATGACTTCACGTCACCACCGCTAAGCTAAAGGTGGCTAACGTTGGGCTTTAAAGGAACTACAGCACGGTCACATGACTAAATGTCTCTCTCTCTCTCTCTCTCCCTGCAGCAGTTCTCCTGGGCGTCCGTCACCAGTAAGAATCTTCCTCCCAGTGGAGCCGTTCCAGTTTCAGGGGTCCCTCACGTCGTCAAAGCCCCCACAGCACCGGTACGTCTCCTAAAATATCTATAGGATGTGATAATCTGACAGTAGTCTGTATGATTTCAGTCTTTGAAGAACCTGTTAACGCAACTATGATTTCTAGTTTTTGCTACGAGATGTAACATTTACAAAGATAAAGGAGATGTTATTTTCAAACTGAGGCTGGGTTACACTTCCAAAACGTAGTTTGATATCTTTGAGTAGATATGAAGCCAGCAGGTCACACACTTCCCTCACTGGCTGCACCTTTTTATGATGATTATCAAAGTTATATCCCTCCCGTCTCCCAGCAGAGAAGCTGCTCTGTTTCCGTTTCTAACAAAGTGTGTGTGTGTCTCTGTTTCTAACAAAGTGTGTGTGTCTCTGTTTCTAACAAAGTGTGTGTGTGTCTCTGTTTCTAACAAAGTGTGTGTGTCTCTGTTTCTAACAAAGTGTGTGTCTCTGTTTCTAACAAAGTGTGTGTGTGTCTCTGTTTCTAACAAAGTGTGTGTGTGTCTCTGTTTCTAACAAAGTGTGTGTCTCTGTTTCTAACAAAGTGTGTGTGTCTCTGTTTCTAACAAAGTGTGTGTCTCTGTTTCTAACAAAGTGTGTGTGTCTCTGTTTCTAACAAAGTGTGTGTCTCTGTTTCTAACAAAGTGTGTGTGTCTCTGTTTCTAACAAAGTGTGTGTGTCTCTGTTTCTAACATAGTGTGTGTCTCTGTTTCTAACATAGTGTGTCTCTGTTTCTAACAAAGTGTGTCTCTGTTTCTAACAAAGTGTGTGTTGTTGTTTCAGCCGAGAGCCGAGGTGAAGTCAGAGACTCAAACAGCAGCAACGAGACCACAGAGAGACCAGAGACCGAACAGAGAACAGAGACCAGGAGGACCTCCACCAGTACACAGAGGACCCAGACCAGGTACACACACTTCCTAAACACAGTGTTTCCCCTAGGAGTCATAGCCTAGTACATAAAGTGGCAATGTCTCAAGATTTAGCAAAATACACCTTTATAGAACATACAGTAACACAAATACTACAAATCCACATAGCAATCAAAAAGAGCACACTTTATTTTTTGGTACCTGGCTGCTATTTGTATATAGGGGAAACACTGCACACACACTTCATAAACACACACTGGTTAAACTGCCTCTAATTAAGGCGTGAGGTGCACATTGTTCTTGCATCCTGATTACGTCATCTCGTTTCATGTACTGTATGTATTCTATATTCTCTCACGGTATTTGTCCCTCTCTCTCGTATTGTTTCAGTGCGGGAAGGAGAGCAAGGAGAGACGGAGAGTCGGCGCGTGGTTCGATACCCCGACGCCCAGCAGCTGTTTGTGGGGAACGTTCCTCACGATGTGGACAAGACGGAGCTCAAGGAGTTCTTTGAGCGTAAGTCTCACACATTACGCTTTAACAAAACACTTAACATTGAAGATAAGATAAAGGACCTTTATTAATCCAGTTGCTTTACCTGTGAGTGAATTAAACATGCCCCCCCCCCCCCCCCCTCTTCTACAGAATATGGTACAGTCCTGGAGCTGAGGATCAACAGCGGAGGGAAACTTCCAAACTTTGGTTTCGTGGTGTTTGACGACTCTGAACCCGTTCAGAAGATCCTGAGCAACCGGGTGAGACGAGTACTCACAATAGTTGTTGTTTAATGTTTAACTGGATGCTGCATCATTTATTTGTTTAGAAACCACTTTGTGAAACACCCAGAGCTCCTTTCTGTTCAGTCTGCTCTGTGATAGTTGTTGTTCCTCTGCTGCTATTTTATTGGAGTTATATATTGAGTTTAAAACTAACTTTACCATTGTTACTTAAAGGTGGGGTAGGTAAGTTTGAGAAACCGGCTCGAGATACACTTGTTGTTATATTCCATGGAATGCTCTTAACATCCCGATAGCAATGAATATCTGAAGTGCTTTGACAAAAAATCCATAATAAATATCATCTGTGGAAGCTGTAGTACTGTAAAAAGCACGACCAATCATCTGAGCCGGCCCGGCTAAAATAACTGGATGGCCTACCTGCCTGTCAGCCTTCCATCTGTGCACAAACTTATCTCGTGCCCTCATTGGTCATGTGTGCGTTCGTGTGTGTTGGAGGAGGGGCTCTGTAAGGAAGTGGAAGATTTTCTCCGGTTGTGTATTTTCAAATTCTAGCGATCTCGAGCTGGTTTCTCAAACTTACCTACCCCACCTTTAAGCTGCAATAACTTTTTGATATCAATTGTTGTTTTGCACCTGTATTGCAAGAAATGATACCATCGAAGCATTTGGTTAACAACATAAGCAGGTGCTAATACAGGTGAAAAGTGCAGAGGGAAATACATCAACACAGATTGCAGGAAATAAAACGGATAAAAGATTTACTTTCTGCCCGTTAAGTTATCCAATCAGAATCCTTTGTTCAACCAAACAGATTGAAATAACATGAATCAGCTGTGTTTAGATCGGGGTGACTTTGGCGTACATGTAATTGAGTTTTTTGAATGTTTTAAACACATTAGAACAAACATTTTTGAAACTTCACCAGAAGTACATTTTTCTTTTTCTAAGAAAAAAAACTCAGCAATCTGACTTTTTAAAAATCCTGAAATCAGGTTGTTTTCTGGAGAAAAAAACGTTTATTCTAATTTCAAATTTAAACAAAATAATGACCAGGTTTTTTGTTATTAAAGTTTTTATTTATGAACATACATGCTACATAGCTCACATGGTACAGCATACAGAAACAGGAAGGTCAGGCTACAAAACATGTGAGTTAAGTGTTCCTTAAATTAGATTACCAATCAGACCCGACAGCGATCATAAAATAACAACAACCGATGATTAGAATAAAAGACCAGGTTTTAATCTTTATCCCTTATTTTGTGTGTCCTCCCCCTCAGCCCATAATGTTCCGAGGCAGCGTGCGTCTGAACGTTGAGGAGAAAAAGACCCGTTCGGCTCGGGAAGGTGACCGACGGGACGTCAGGCCTCGAGGTCCTGGGGGTCCTGGAGGTCCTAGAGAGAGGATCGGAGGTGGAGGAGGAGGCGGAGGAAGAGGAGGAGGAGGAGGCCCCCCCACCCGAGGAGGCATGGCACAGAAACCCAGCTTCGGCTCTGGACGAGGAGCGGGGCCCAGCGAGAGTCGCTACCCCAACCCGCGCCAATAAAAGGCTCTTTCAGCGGCCCCCCCCCCCCCCAAAACCCCTCCAACCTGAGTTAGATTTACTCTCTGGATTCAACTGCAGCAGGAAGCAATCGGACGACAAGATAAACGTATTACTTTACATCGTAGGAGTACAAAAACATGAGTCCAGTCATTTTAGGACACACACACACACACACACCAACACACACACACACACACACACACACACCAACACACCAACACACAAACACACACACACACACACCAACACACACACACACACACACCAACACACACACACACTGGTTCTTCCACCTGAGTAACTTATCAGTTTTGGTTGAGAGCTCTCCACATCCCCCCCCTGAAGATGGCTTCTTCCTCTTCCTCACCCTCCTCTTCCTCCGCCTCCTCTCTTTTTGTTTACCCCTCTCTCCTCCTCCACCAACACATGTATTATCTGGACTTTTTTTTTTGTCTTTATTTTTTTAGTTTTTTCCATTGCTGAACTTGAATTCATTAAAGAAACAAACACGCAAACACACGAGAAAAAGGGTAAATACTACTTGAATTGGGGATTAAAAAACCCAGAGGTTAGGTTTTTTCGCGTTCTCTCTCCCTGTTTCTTAAAGGAACGTGTACTTTACTGCTTGGGCAATCCTGTGTATTGCTGCCACCGTTGTACCTGGCGATGGATCTGTCTTATCTTTTTATTCTATCAGGTCAAGAGCTGAACTGTCGTGGTTTTTATTTGAGTAATGTTGGCTTGTTAAACATGTGACAGACGGACATCCGAGCGGAGCGTGTTTCAGATCATGTATCAAAAATCCTGTCAGGCTTCTTTACCGATGCACTTCATTTGTCATCACGTTTAAAACAAGCTCACCTGCCGATGAGAGAACTAAATTAAAAGTGATTTACTGTTTTAAAACCTGTCGTCTGTTTCGTGGTGTGTTCACTGTCTTCTCTGGTACCGGGGAAAATGGGACTTCAGCAGAATCGGAATCAGGTTTGTCACCAGGTAGGTTGACAAGTACGAGGAATTGATTTGGTGTCATGGTGCGTACATCAAAGTAAAACAAGAATTAAAAACACAACTAGAAAAATAACAAATCTAGTAAAACAACAGTATTTACATAGAAATTGGCAAAAACAAAAACAGATTGTTGTATATTGTGTGCATTAATGTATATTAAAAACACTCAGGGATGTGAACGGGAGAACTTGTACTTTAACCTATAGGCTACTTGGAATATTTTATGAATTGTAAGGTGTCCTTGGGTGCTTTGAAACATAATTAGTTATTACTATTAATTATGTTTCAGACAACAATGTCCAATGAACATATAGGCATGATATGTCCCAACCACTTTTTGAACGTATAATTTATAAATGTTTTCAGAAATAGCGTGCACAAAGAAATGTAATAAACTAGAACACTTAGTGTCATGATCTGCAATTTGGACATGTCAGTAAACCTTTCATATCAAATGTGCTGCAGCAGGGCGCGGGCACTTTAAAAGAAGTAAACTATAAATAATTCCTCCTTACTCCACTGACGCTAAAATTACTAAAAATAATGACGATGTTTGCCTGAAGTAAATGTTGTCTTTTTGCTTTATTTTCTTGTCAGAGAGTACCAGAATGCGTAGTTTACATGTTTACACTTTTTGAAATGACCAATTATTTAATAGTACTACTTATAGATGTTCTGAAAAATAGCGCATGCAAAGAGCTGTTGGTAGCCTACTACTTTACAATAAGACTACCCTTTATAAAGGGTTTATAAATAGGTTATTCATTTAGGTTGTAAACACTTTGTTAATCATTAAGAACCATTTATAAACCAGTTCTAACATAGTTTTCATACATGGCTCACTATTTGGCAAGAGAACTAAGCCTTATAGCCTATTGGCTACTTAGCGAGAATCAACTCAGTGAGCAACAGATACCAAGGATGCTGGCTGATGACGACAAAGTAAGCTAAGTCGCCAATATAAGACTTAGCAGTACAGATAAATATGGGCTCACTATTTGGCAAGCATCCGGTCACAGTTGCCCTGTTTATCATGTCTTATAAACAGTGGCGACTGGTCATTACCTAGTGTCAGCAGAAAGTATTACAAATAAGGATTACAAAAAAAAAATATTTTAAGATCATGTTTAATCATCTGATTCGTCTGTACATTGCTGTTTTAGTCAGTGTTCTTCTAATTAGTGTCTACAGTCACAGTGTGTGCCTATTGAGCTGTTTAGAGCCATGTGGGACAAAACCTGATCATGCCCCTCCCTCTCACTGTCTAAGTGAATGGTGACTGTAAAAACTACACTGCGCATGCTCAGAGTATTTTCCTATTTAATGTGTGTGGCAAAAAAATAATGACCATTGTCACTACCCGATCTGTCCCCCTGCCCGATCTGTACTGCGCATGTGCGAGATGCTTCGCCATATTGGACAACTACATACGGCAACTCTACTAGGACACTTGACACAGTGGCTTTTGGCAAAGCAGAAAAAGAACCGAGAGAGATTATTGTTATTACAACAACGTGACTTCACTATTATTTAACAACTCTTTTTATTGGGTTCTTTTATTTGGGGTTAAATACATTAGGCGCGTTCACACCAGAGTACTTTTCCCACAATAGTTCATCAGAACTACGATATATTTGCGTTCACACCAAAAAGCCCCAGGAACTAAAGTAGTTCAAATTAGTTCGCCCGACCCGCTTTTCAGTCCCTGCTAGAGAGCAGGGACTGTTGTGGGAGAAAATAGTTCGTACGTCTGATTGGCTCTGCGGAATGCAAACCACGCCCGTTTGACTCTGAATTTTTTTTTGTAAGCGGCCATTGTATTTGCTCGCTTCGGCCAGCGCACCCGAAGAGATTACTTTTGTGAAAGCAGTTATTATAGCAACACTAAATAAATCATCGGAGCGGTGGGGTGATGAGGATGTGACGGCGCTTCTGGCGATTTACTCGGAGGACGCGAAGCGCCGCATTCAGAAGCTTCTACTGAATGCAGTTTCCGTGGCTCAGCAAAGTTAGCAGACCTGGCAAAGTCATGTCGGGACGACTACGAAGGTAAAATAAAATACAGGCACTGCACTGTTTTAATCTGCACAATACTGGTCTTAGATGTACTTCTATTTGCTCAGTAGATCGAGCTAGCCATGCTAGAACTTGCTATCATAGGTCCAAGCTGGCTAACAACATCTAGCTAGCTAGCTATTCTCAGCCGTGTCCGCTATGAACACGTTTTGACTTGTGAATAAGTGTGCAATGTTCTGTAATTTGCTTCACTAACTCATGGCACTAATCGTGTGTTTCAGGCGAGGTGTTTCTCTCAGGATTAGAAACTAGTTTTCCCCTCCGGGATAAAACGATAATATAACGTTAGCAATTAGCATGCTAGCTGGACATAATGCTACCTAGTTGCTATAATTTCAAGTCATTTGCAACATTCATTCTACATGTTAATGGTAAAAGCTTAAACAGTTGATTACCTGCATGCCACAAAGACTGATGTTCTAATATTTTTGCACATTTAAGTAGAAATGTAATTGAAATTCTATTTATTTTTCCTTTTTTTTATTGATTGTTATAATTGTACTCAGCCATGTTATGTTAGATGTCAATCCACTTACACTGTAACTACTCTGGCCTTGAAAGAAGGTTACACATCTAACTGATGTCCACTAATCCCTATAAAACAAAGTTCAAGCATACATTAAGCACAAAACAATAAATAAGGGCACTTTGATATTTATTTTTTATTTGATATTATTTGATCCTATCTTATCTTCTACTTTACACCTGCATTTTGTACACTGTCCCTGCCTGCACCATGTCCAATGTTGGACAATGTTGTCTCGTTGTTGCGATTAAACTGATCTTGTCTCTTGCATATTTCACCTTAGGAAAGCGGGCACGCGATGACAGCTTCCTTGACACCATCATGGCGATGGACCGCCGTGCCATGGTCAGCAAGGAGAATGAGGACCTGCGTGCCAAGGAGATGCACGACGAACGGCTGCTGCATTCACACAAGGCCCAGGAATCGAGGTGGAGCAACAAAATACCTTTCTGGCTGGGCTTCTGGCAGTGCTAAGCGAGCTGATTAAATCCAACAGGCCTTCAATACAAAAATTAAGAAAAACTTGTCGTCGTTGATAAACTGTACAATGACTTGTTGGGAGGCGTGTGGTGCAGTGGTCTGGTGCGTTGATGTTCAGATCAGGGGAGCACAGGTTCAAACCCCACTGCAGTCAGGATGTCGTTGTGTCCCTGGGCAAGACACTTCACCCCAAATTGCCTACACCTGGGACAGTTAATTTTGTATTATTGTGATTATATATATATATATATATGCCACTGTTATTAATACTGACACCTAACTTTGCACTAAGGTTTGTCTGCTGCTGAGCCTACCTATTGTTATTATATATATATATATATATATATATATATATATATTGCCACTGTTATTATATTGTTTTGATACTACTGACACTACTGATCTGCTGCTGATAAATAAAAGAGAACCTACATGCACGGCACTAGCGTCATGACTGTCTTTGTTTAAACCAGCAGCAGTGCAGCGGTACACAGACTAACCTGTGTGTGTGTAACGTAGTTCTTCAGGTGTGTATGCTTAACATGTATGTATTTATCACAGTAAAGATGGTATACAAAAGCTTTTTAAAGAGCTTTCAACCTCATCCCATTGTCTTTAACACACATTTAACATAATAATATACTCATATTAATATACAAATATACAGTATGAGTACTGTTTTGATACTGACATTTAATCTTTGCACTAAGGTGTGTCTGCACTATTGTAATTGTGTCTGTTGACTGTGGTAAATAAAAGAGAGAACCAAATGCACTGTACAAAATATCAGCTTTATTGTCAATTTACAATTTCCATGCTGTTCAGATGCCTCAAGGGCTGTGCACGTGTCTTGCCCCGCGGCGATTTTTTTAGGTTGCGTCTCCCCAACGTTGCTTCCAGGCGAATACAGAGGAGTTGAAAAGAGCCCTTGGACATTCGGAAATCTTTGATCCACTGCACATTGGTGTACGTTGGCACCACCTCCCACCAGGCCGATGTTCTATTGTTCACCCAGAGAGAGCGCGGGACACGACGCGTTCCGTAGTATTCGCATATCTGGAACACATACAAAGACACAAATTAGCCCTACATAACTCCATCAATCCTACATTAGATAGTATTAATGTGATTTAATGAACGTACCATTGCTGTTCTTTGGGCGTGATAACGGCCATCATCCTCAGCTGTCCTACGGCGGAACATGTCCATAGCGTGTGCTTTCATCGTCCAATCCTTTTGTAAGGCTTCTTAACCGCCTTCGCCTCCGACTCAGCATTTCTATTGCATTTGAATGGTCGATCTGTATTTGTATTTGTGGCTGAGTTATTGGCTTAAATAACTCAGTTACGAAGCTGTATAACACGACCACCAAAACGTCAACTCCATACCGTGCCTGAGGTCGGAAGGTAAACAGAAGCATACAGCGGAAGCGGAAGTTTTTTTTCTTCTTCTTCTCTCGGTTATTTGGCGAATTGCAACTTTAAGGTGCATACCGCCACCTACTGTACTCGCCGTGAAGTTGTTTGCGGCCTGCCAGTAAACCCAAAGCAGAAGAAGAAGAAGTGACGTCAGCGGCTCATTTGCCTAATCCACCCCCAGGAACTAATTTTGGTGTGAACGCGATATGCTTTAGTTCATCAGAACTAAAAGAGCTCTCATGAACTTAAGTTCTCATGAACTATTGTGGGAAAAGTACTTGGTGTGAACGCCCCTAATGTCAGAATAAGTGAGACATGGATTTAACTTCTGTTAGACAGCTATATGCCATACATTTTTGCATACATTCACAGTAAATATTTATTCAGTATGATAGTATCATACTGAATAAATATTCAGTATGGGGGGGGGGGGGGGGGGGGGGGGGATGACACCAGGGCTGGTTCTGACCAATTTGCTGCCCTAGGCAAGATTTTAGCAGGCAATGAAAAACCTCTACAAAAGACCAATACACTACAAACAGAGAAACTTATTGACATGGTGGAGTGTCCAATAATATCGTCTCAGGAAGAAAGGCTTTTTAATGCTTATTAAAAATAGCAGAAAAACATGCTTTCTTGTACTCAGGAGGGGACATTGACAGAGGATTACTGTGAAGTACATAGTAAAAGTACTTCATAGTACTTGTGGGAGTAGTTTCACTAGTACTGAGTCCAACAGTGTCAAACTCACAAAGAATTAATGGCAAAAATCCTTTTTTAACAAACTTAACAGAAGTGGCTTGATTTATAATATTATCACTGTTCCAAGCACATGAGTGCTTTTGTTTTGAAATCACTTCCGTGAGTTTCGCCCTGCCCCTCGCTCCAATGACCATTAGACCATTTAGTAAGGTAAAAAGCAAAAAGCAAAAACGTCTCTCAGACGCTCTTCCGTTTACTTGTTTGATAAAGAAAAACAATTGGACGGTAGATACACGGATTATGGTGCTAGCATGAAATAAAGACCACACAGAATTTGGATTAACAAAGAAATGCGAATCAAAAGTTGCAAGAATTTCATTCGAAGCTACTCTACTTAAAAGTAAACTCAAATAAATACTCTAAAATTACCCAAAAAAATGCGGCAATGATGTTTGTCCTGTTAGCCTGAAGTAAATGTTGTCTTGTTGCTTGATTTTCTTGTCAGAGAACCAGAATGCTTAGCTTGCATGTTAAAATAAAACATCTATTTTGGGGGTTTGCAAACATCATTTTCATGTGAGTGTGCATTTTTTTCGCTCTGGAAAACACTCGTGTTCAAGACTCTTAAACAACGACTGAGGGCTTCTTCAATAATTGTCCCCTGGCCACACAAATGGCAAAAAGTGAAGAAATGTGTGTGGCCTTAAAGGTGGGGTAGGTAATTCACTTCAGAAACACTTTTTGTTATATTCCATGGAATGCTCTCAACATCCCGATAGCAATGAATATATTAAATACTTTGACAATAAATACATTAAAAAATGTCATCTGTGGAAGCCGTAGTACTGTAAAAAGCACGACCAATCATCTGAGCCGGCCCGGCTAAAATAACTGGATGGCCTACCTGCCTGTCAGCCTTCCATCTGTGCACAAACTTATCTCGTGCCCTCATTGGTCATGTGCACGTTCGTGTGTTTTGGAGGAGGGGCTCTGTAAGGAAGTCTGAAGGAAGGGGCAGATTTTTTTCGGCTGCATACTTTCAAATTCTAGCGCACTCGAGCTGGTTTCTCCATTCTTACCTACCCTACCTTTAAGGGCTATAGAGTGGCGAAGTCCCTCCCCTTCCGGTGGACCTCCATAGGACCTTATTTCGGAAAAATGATGTATTGAAGTCAATGGAGAGAGAAAGATTATCTTTCGATCCCGTTTGAATTACACATGATGTAAGTAACACATTTGTTTGTGTGAAACGCTCAATGAACTACATCTCCGGTCTCGCACAACAACACACGTCACCAAGATGGCCGTCACTACTGTCTTGTCAAAAAAAGGATTGACTACCCTCACTATCAGCACAATGAAACACGTCCTGAAGAATGTCATGCAAAGCTGCCTGCCTGCCTTCCTTTGATTCTCTCTGAACTGCCTGGTCGTTTTAATGTTTAATGTCAACCATTTGTGCAGATAGCATGAAGTACAAAAGATCGCAGATGCTAATGTAGCGTTAGCGTTAGCATTTCTCCCCCGGGCTTAAATTGTGTATTATAGAATGATCACAGCGGTGACAGTACTCTTCAAAGGGTTCACGAAATATGACTACTACTCTTACTGTTTAACATTTTGGGTTACTTAATGTTACTTCATGTTAAGGCTAATAAAAAGGACAAGGCTGTAATGCTAACTAACGTGCTAGCTACTAGCTTGGTAGCTAACTTGATCCAGCCACTCCTGGTCCTTTCATCAGACGGGAAGCGAAAGAACGAGCAAGACCCATTGCTGGTATGATAACAACCTGGTACTAAGCACACAGGCATCTTGTTAAAGTTATCTTATCTTAGCCAGCGCCATATAGATAGATTATATCTATATGGCGCTGATCTTAGCTATCTCTTAGTGGAGGAAAACAATTGTGACATCACTTACGCGACTCTGGGATTTGTAGTCTTTCTAGTTGCGTATTTTTCATAGTCTTATATTTCAACAGTTTTACGACAAACTGTGACTTTTTTGACATGGAAATGATTTTTTAAGATTGACAAACATCATAAGTGTAATTCATGGCACAATTCAAACGGGATCCAAAGATAAGTTTTCTCTCTCCATTGACTTCAATGCATAATTTTTCCGAAATAAGGTCCCATGGACCGGAAGTAGATGGGCGTGACTTCGCCACTATATAGGCCTACTGGATATGTGGCCCTAAAGAATCTGCTCCATTATCTGTACCAAATGCACATTGATGCCACCAAATGACACAATAACAATAGAAAGTACTACAAATAAATAAATGGACATCTTAAAATATTAATATATACACAACATTTTTTTGTACAAATATCCAACCTTCAAATTCATATTTTAAATCAATATTGCTCTACACACTTGCTAAAGAAAATTTGTATGGTAATCTCAGTTCATAGGGCTGCGTGAGTATGGCCAACAGCATGTGAGTACATCTGTTACAACACGGGTCGGGTCGCTTGGCGGCACTCTCTGTGTACACACACTCACACACACACACACACACACACACACACACACACACACACACACACACACACACACACACACACACACACACACACACACACACACACACACACACACACACACACTCTCTGCACGTGCAGCGGAGTCCGGGCGATGCTGCTCCTCCAAGGAAGAGACACGTTCACTAAGCCCAAAAAAGTATATCCGGTCACTGAGATCTGCTATTTTAAAGTAAAGTCAACACATAGCGACCCTAAATAGTCTATATTAAGAACAAGACCATTTTTAACGTTTTTTTGTAAACATGACAAATGTGCGTGGGTGATGACGTCAGAGCATCGTCCTATGAGCCCCGGACAGCCCCGGCACAATTTAACCCCTCGACACTACATACAAATATGAACCTGAAAATGAGCAAAATATGTCCTCTTTAGTACAAGTCTAGGAAAACAACCCTTACACACTGAGAACAAAATACGGAAGAATGCAGTTTAGCCATTACATTTACTTTTGAAAGCATAATAAGCTATATTCAAGGACAACATTCAAGTTGTTGTTTCCTTTCAAATCAGGTTAATGTCCAAGGACGTTTGGGTGTTTTTCACATTTGTTATCAAAGACATCTGCTGGATTGTCACGTGCCTTGCCAGTGACCTGTTTAACGTGGATATAAAGACGGGAACAGAGCGAGACGTGTCACACTTCTCTGTCTGAACAGCGATATTTCAGAATGAGGAGAGCTGCAGTTTTTCCGGCGTTGCTGCTCTGTCTGCTCTGGACGGGGGCTCAGGGTGAGGATGGAGGGGGGACAGGGAAGAAAGAGGGGGAGCTTGATATCCAAGGAGCCCAGGATCAGAGCAGCAGTCAGACCCAGGTGAGCACTGACGTCTGGGCTGAGCTGAAGGAGCTCAGAGACATGGCCATCGAACACAGGATCAAGATCCAGAGTCTGGAGCAAGACAACACAGGTGACACAGCTGACATAAAACACACTGAGAGCCACGTCACGCTGCACTGATACAAGCAACCATCATCACTGACACTCTTCACTTTAAGGACTCATCTGTTGTTTTTAACCAAGCCACACAGGTCAGACTGACAGCCAGCGAGAGCAAGAATGCAGGTACATATTTACATATGCTGACTTATATGTTCATGTACAATAATGTTTGTGACAGAGCTCCACAGTGACATCTACAATAATACTATTTATCTGAATAAAGTGTCCCCACCACTTTTGAAAACAAAGTGACGCCTGTGCCAATGAGTGTGTGTTTTAATCCTAATTAAAAACCTAACATGTGTTCAGTTCTAGAGTCCAGGATGAGCTCCAGTGAGAAGGAGGTGGAGGAGCTCCAGAGAGAAGGAGGTGGAGGAGCTCCAGAGAGAAGGAGGTGGAGGAGCTCCAGAGAGAAGGAGGTGGAGGAGCTCCAGAGAGAAGGAGGTGGAGGAGCTCCAGAGAGAGATCACAGGTGAGAAACTATTATTAAAAAATAAAGATTGGCTGCTTTATGTAAAAAAACAGACGGTGAATTTAAAAGTGAGTAAAGAGAAGTAAATTATATGTTTAACAGAAATAGTACGAACATATTGATGAGATATTTTGTGGTTGTTTATCAGCTGTTAACCTGCTCTTTCTCTGTATTGCAGATCTCCTGGCTCGAGTCACAGCGAGTGAGAATAAGAGCACAGGTAGGAGTACAAAGTCATCAAAGAAGAAAAGGAGAAATGACTGATATAATTATATTTTTTTATAAAAACGTTGGATTTGTTTGCCGTTTTAAAGGCAACAAAATATTGCAGTGAATTTGAAAAGTGAATATTTAGTATGGTAGAACATTATTTTCACATAAGATCTGCAATAGTGAAATTGTAAATAAGAGACTATAACTTTATTTGACTAAAACAATGTTAAACTTGTTCAGCTTTAGAGTCCAGGATGAGCTCCAGTGAAAAGGAGGTGGAGGAGCTCCAGAGAGAGAACGCAGGTGAGAAACAGAAACTATAGAGTGGTGCAGGAATGAGTCCTAAAACCAGGAAGTGAGTCAGCATTTCACCACTTCCTGTTCCCTCGTCTCAGAGCCAATGGGATCTCTCCATAGGATTTTGGAAAATAGCTGTAAATAGGGTCTGTGGTTGAGACCAGAGATGGGGTCGTTACTAAAAAAAAGTAATATATTACACTACTTCGTTACTCTCTACATAAAGTAACTCGTTACTTTACTCGTTACTTTACTCATCACTTTACTCGCAGGGCCGGCCCGCCCCTCCCTACAGGCAGATCACGCAGACTGCTAAAGTTTCAAATGTTCTCTTTAGTTCAGTTTCCATTGTCGCATAAGACTGATCCAGATAGCTCTGACCATGGCTGTCCTCTGTCTCCTGCTATCTGTATTTTGCGCAGTATATCTCTGAACGATGCGATGGTGATTCCACTGTGCAAATGGGCAACATTACCTCTACTATGAAGGATGCTACAAGCCTGTCCATCTCTGCTTTGGTTACCGGTCCTCCAAATTCTAATTTTTGCTGCTTCGGAGTCGGCGGCTGCGCACTCACAACATCCTCACTCTGGGTTCGGGGGTCCTTAGCTATTAGCTTCACCTTAGCATGTGTTCTTTGCAGGTGTTTGTTGAGGTTTGACGTGGTGTTTACAGCAGTGGATAACAGCTTCTGGCCTGGACACAGTTTGCACCTCACCGTCACATTCCTGTCTATTCTTCGGACGAACTCAAAATAATGGGCATACCTCCAGCCCTCGAAAGTTATCGCTGACTCAGCCATGTTTATGCAGCACTGCAGGTGGAGATGTGGACGCGCAAGTCGCGCAGATTACGTACATATAAACCTGCGGCGGAAACCCCTCTTGTCTGTCAGTGTGATTATGACTGATTTTATAAAAGTAACGAAGTAACGCGTGTCGGGGCAATGTTAGTAACTGTAGTGTGATTACTGAATTATAAAAGTAACGCGTTACACTACTCCGTTACCGACAAAAGTAATATTATTACAGTAACGTGTTACAAAGTAACGCGTTACACCCAACTCTGGTCGAGACACATTGAAGAGACGGATCACGTTTTGTTCTACGACATTAAATCCATCAGCAGTGACCCCACTGGTGATTTCTGAAGAGTTGACGTGTCTGAAAAACGATGGTTGTTACCAAGTGGCTGAATAGGACTACAGAAGTCGTGGAGGACGTTGTACGTCATTACGCCGAACACGTAAACACTCCTCTAAGTTTGTTTGCCCTGTTCTGCTTGAAAGCAAGTACCTGCCTCCTGCAGACTGTTCAAACAAAAGCTTCAACTTGTACCATTTAGAATCTGTATGTTTGAGTATGGATCTTAAGTTGGCGTGACGTTGAAGTCGTGCTGCTGGACTCGGCTGTAGTTCCTTTATAGCATAACGTTAGCATTTTGCTTCTGGAGATTAGATTTATGATTAGAACATTATAAAAGTAGGCTAGACAAAACGTGCATTTATCAAACAGGCTCGTTTTCCACAGACCTTATTTCCAGCTATTTTCCTAAATCCTATGGAGAAATCCCGTTGCTTTTTTGTCGAGGGAACCAGCAGCTTACTTCAGGGTAAATACGTCATCCCTGCACCTCTCTATTATGAAGAGTGAAAATGTTATTTAATGAAAGGAACTGATATACTGAGGAGAATATTAAATATCAATCTCTGCTGACTATCAGAATCCAAACCACTGACTTTCTTAGTTTAATAGACAGTTTGTGAATGAGTTCTCATCTCTGTGTGCTTCCTCCTCTTTCTCACAGACCGTCCTCAGGTGGCGTTCTCAGCCGGTCTCACTGATGCAGGATCAGTCGGACCCTTCAACACTTCAATCACACTGAAGTACAGTAAAGTCTTCACCAATATCGGCCAGGCCTACAGCCCAACTACAGGTACTACACACACACACACACACACACACACACACACACACACACACACACACACACACACACACACACACACACACACACACACGCGCACACACACACACACACACACACACACACACACACACACACACACATACACACACACACACACACACACACACACACACACACACACACACACACACACACACACACACACACACACACACACACGCGCACACACACACACACACACACACACACACACACACATACACACACACACACACACACACACACACACACACACACACACACACACACACACACACACACACACACACACACACACACACACACACACACACGTGACTGTACGTTTTCTTAAGAGTTTTCTTAATGACACCATTAAAACATCTCTTAGTGTTCCTACAGTTGATCATGGTAGAAAGTAGAACCAAGTCAAGAGCTCCTACGTGTTCCTTATTAAAAAACCCGTCCTTTACGGGCCGTCTCCACAGCAGCGTTAAAAAATCTTGAAACGCTTCTGCCCATTCACTTTGAATGGGGTGACGTCACTTTGCCTCACTTTTCGCCGAAATGCATTGTGGGCAGGCGAGCGGAGATTCTCAGGATTTTCAGGATTCAAAGTTGAACAATGTTCAACTTTTGAAGCTGAGGTGGAAGCGGCAGCCAATCAAATCCCGTGTACGCAAATCTGACCGTTCAAGCTCTAGCCAATCAAACCGCGTGTATGCTGGGAGTGACATACCGCAGGTCATTTCCTCATATTCCAAAAAATGGAGGAGAAATTAGCGGTAGGGAATCAATCACCCGGTGCTTTATGACCAGACCCTATTTACCTACCGGGATACAAACCGGAGGAGCCAGGCATGGAGGGAGGTGGCAGAGACTGTGGTAGCTTTTCGCCCGTTTGGGGAGTTTATATCCAGTTTACTTCGGGCTTTTTTGCTTCGTATGTCGGGGGCGGGAGATTCATGTGATTGGTTGTTGGTGCCTTGCTTGCAAAAAATCCCCAAGCTTCAGATACGCCCACCTCCAAGATTTTTTTAACGCTGCTGTGGAGACGGTCCGTAAGTCCTGCTGAAGCTCCAGAAACAATCTCCCCTCACTGACCTTCTCCTCTGATGCAGGTATCTTCACAGCCCCCGTCAGAGGAGTCTACTACTTCAGATTCAACGTGTGGGAGGACCGCCGTTCATTTTGGACCGCTGTTGAACTCTTTCACAACGACCTGATAAAGATGGGGCTTTATGATTACAATGATGGCTCTGGCTATGTCTCTGCGTCTAACTCAATGGTTCTTCAGCTGGAGAAGGGAGATGTTGTCTACATCGTTCTGCCCCCCAGCTACGCCGTTTGGGATGATGCTTTGAATCGCATGATTTTCAGTGGATTTCTTCTCTTTCCTCAGTGAAGCCCACTGTAAAACACCCACTGCATTACGTTTCAACATTACATATTAATAAAGAAGTGAGTTGACTCAATTTATATAATTGTTTGTGTTTATTTTTGCTTGGTTACATGAACAAGAGGCATTCATTACCATAACAACGTTTTCTACGGACACTATAAGAGAAACACTTTAGCAGTGCTGTTGTTGTCCAAACCCTCTAAACTGAGACCAAGTGAAGACCAAAGAGCTCTCCAGTCTGTGCCCTGACGACAGAAGTGAGACCCCACCCTGCATGACACAGATATGAAACATATATAACATTAAAAACAGAGACACTCCTCAAAATGATCTGTCATATCCACAATCCCAGAAAAACTCAAATGTCTTCATTCACCTGGTTGCTTGCCATATATGCTTCCAGTATATGTTTGTGTATGAATGTTATATGAGAAATGTAAAACAGAGTTGACTTGTATGTCCGGGAATCTTCCTTTCTTTTCTGACCTCTTTGTCAGAGACAGAAACTCATCAAAATGAGGTTGATTCTGAGACCAGACCTTCAAAAAGGGTTCTTGTGACCAAGACAAACTCAAGTCCCAAAAACTCTGCATTAAAGTGTTAATAAATACAAAAAGACGTCATATTTTCTTTTACAAAGCATGACTATATTATTTGAATCCATCCAAGCTAAAATCCAGTCTGTTAACATGTTAAATGTGCACAGAAGTGTTCTCACATCAGTATTGTACTTAATTAGCTTTAATAGGGATAGCTTGGTTTAATACAAGTTTGAGAAAAATAAACACACTGAGAAAAAATATGAAAGAATGCAGCTTAGCCATTAAATAAGTTACTTTTGAAAGCTTACATAATGAGATATATTCAAGGACAACATTTAAGTTGACTTTTTTTTCACATGTGTTATCAAAGACATCTGCTGGATTGTCACGTGCCTCGTCAGTGACCTGTTTAACGTGGATATAAAGACGGGGACAGAGCGAGACGTGTCACACTTCTCTGTCTGAACAGCGATATTTCAGAATGAGGAGAGCTGCAGTTTTTCCGGCGTTGCTGCTCTGTCTGCTCTGGACGGGGGCTCAGGGTGAGGATGGAGGGGGGACAGGGAAGAAAGAGGGGGAGCTTGATATCCAAGGAGCCCAGGATCAGAGCAGCAGTCAGACCCAGGTGAGCACTGACGTCTGGGCTGAGCTGAAGGAGCTCAGAGACATGGCCATCGAACACAGGATCAAGATCCAGAGTCTGGAGCAAGACAACACAGGTGACACAGCTGACATAAAACACACTGAGAGCCACGTCACGCTGCACTGATACAAGCAACCATCATCACTGACACTCTTCACTTTAAGGACTCATCTGTTGTTTTTAACCAAGCCACACAGGTCAGACTGACAGCCAGCGAGAGCAAGAATGCAGGTAAATATTTACATATGCTGACTTATATGTTCATGTACAATAATGTTTGTGACAGAGCTCCACAGTGACATCTACAATAATACTATTTATCTGAATAAAGTGTCCCCACCACTTTTGAAAACAAAGTGACGCCTGTGCCAATGAGTGTGTGTTTTAATCCTAATTAAAAACCTAACATGTGTTCAGTTCTAGAGTCCAGGATGAGCTCCAGTGAGAAGGAGGTGGAGGAGCTCCAGAGAGAAGGAGGTGGAGGAGCTCCAGAGAGAAGGAGGTGGAGGAGCTCCAGAGAGAGAACACAGGTGAGAAACAGAAACATCATAAAAAGGGAAATGTTGTGAATATTAAGATACAAAGACATGTTTTTGTGTAAAATACAAAAGTGAGAAAAGAGAGGTGAACAGAATCAGATGAACATACTGATAAGATATCACGTGTGGTTGTTTGTCAGATAATGAGCTGCTTTGTGTATTGCAGATCTCCTGGCTCGAGTCACAGCGAGTGAGAATAAGAGCACAGGTAGGAGTACAAAGTAATCAAAGAAGAAATGGAGAAAATACAAAGTTGTTGTTTTTTTCATAAAAACTGTAAATGTGTTCCCATTTTTAAAAGGCAAAAAGCGGTCTAGACAACATTCAAGGTTCAAGGTTCAAGGTTCAAGGTTCTTTATTGTCAATCTGACATAGCTACAGAGTAATTATGCAGTTGAAAATCTTATGTCACAGGCTTCTCCAACAATGCAACATAATAACATAATAACAATAAGAGCATGAGCAATACAAAAATAATAATAGTTATAAAAATGAAATAAAGTTATGATGTGGAATAGTGCAGTATGAGTCTATATACAAGTTATTGGAATGATATATATATATTAGGTATTAGATACATACTACTGAGTAGCAGTTGAATGTTTGAAGTTGTTTCAACAGTTCAATTTTTTAACAGTCTCACTGCCCGCGGGAAGAAACTGTCTCCGAATCTTCTTGTCCTTGCCAGGATGCTGCGGTAACGTCTGCCAGACGGCAACAGAAAGAACAGTTTGTGGCTGGGGTGATGGGGGTCTTTGATAATCCGTAGTGATTTCTTCCTGAGCCGCTGGGAGTAAAGGTCCTCCATGGATGGCAGCTCCGTCCTGGTGATGTGCTGTGCAGTTTTCACCACCCTCTGTAAAGCCTTACGATCGAGGTCGGTGCAGCTGCCGTACCAGGCCGTCATGCTGCCAGTGAGGATACTCTCTATCGTGCACCTGTAGAAGTTGCAGAGTATCCTGGAATCCATTTTGAACCTCCTCAACCTGCGGAGGAAGAAGAGCCGCTGTCGAGCTTTCTTGGTGATGGTGGTGGTGTGAAGAGACCATGTCAGGTCCTCAGTGATGTGGACCCCAAGGAACCTGAAGCTTTTGACTCTCTCCACCGTAGTCCCATTGATGGCGATGGGGGCGTGTCCCTCTCCCTGCTGCTTCCTGTAGTCCACAATCAGCTCCTTTGTTTTGCTGATGTTGAGATGGAGGTTGTTCTCCTGGCACCAAGATGTCAGGTTTTCGACCTCCTCTCTGTATGCCGTCTCGTCATCGTCTGTGATCTGGCCGATGACGGTCGTGTCATCAGCAAACTTCACGATGGTGTTGGAGCTGTGTGTGGCCACGCAGTCGTGGGTGAACAGGGAGTAGAGGAGAGGGCTGAGCACGCAGCCTTGAGGGGCACCGGTGTTGAGGATCAGGGTGGAGGATGTGATATTTCCCACCCGCACTGCCTGGGGCCTGCCCGTCAGGAAGTTCAGGATCCAGTCGCAGAGGGCGCTGTTGAGCCCGAGGTCTCTGAGCTTGATGGCCAGCTTGGAGGGCACAATGGTGTTGAATGCTGAACTGTAGTCAATGAACAGCATTCTCACATATGTGTTCCTGTTCTTCGGGTCCAGGTGTGAGAGGGCAGTGTGGAGGGTGAGGGCTATGGCGTCGTCTGTGGACCTGTTTGCTCTGTAGGCAAACTGCAGGGGGTCCAGAGATTCAGGGAGGGAGGAGGTGATGAATAATTTGACTAACCGCTCAAAGCACTTCATTATGATGGAGGTGAGTGCTACTGGGCGGTAGTCGTTGGGGCAGGTGATGATTGTCTTTTTGGGGACAGGAATGATGGTGGAGTGTTTAAGACATGTGGGGACTACAGACTGCAGCAGGGACCTGTTGAAGATGTCTGTGAACACCTCTGCCAGCTGAACTGCACACACCCTGAGAACACGGCCAGGGATGCCATCAGGTCCAGGAGCCTTGTGTGGGTTAACCCTTTTAAAGGATTTACACACATCTGCCCTATTTAAAACAAAAGGGCAGTGTAGCTCCTGGTCCCTCTGTACCTCCACAGCCTGGCTGCTCTCAAAGCGTGCAAAAAAACTGTTTAGCTCATCTGGGAGAGATGCGCACGCAGACACTCCCGCAGCACCCCCCGCTGCTCCTTTGTAGTCAGTCATTGTCCTTAGTCCCGCCCACATATTCCTAGTGTTACAGCCTTTGAAGTCAGATTCCACCTTCTCTTTGTACTGTCTCTTTGCATTTTTTATTGCTCTCCGGAGATCATACCTAGACTTCCTGTACTCCTCCAAATCTCCCGCTGTGTGCGCGAGAGTGCGCGCTTTCAGTTTGCCGCGCACCTCACCGTTTACCCAGGGCTTTTGATTTGGGAATGTCCGTACAGAAACCTTCGGTACCACGTCATCGATGCATTTCCCAATGTAGCAGATGACAGTGTCCGTGTGTGTGTTGATGTTATTGTCCTCAAACACACTCCAATCCGTAGATGCAAAGCAATCCTGCAGTGCTGAATCTGACTCCTCGCTCCATCGTTGTACTGTCCTTGTTATCGGTCTGTCCCTTTTAAGTTTCTGCTTGTAAGCAGGCAACAACAGTAGTGAGATATGGTCTGATTTGCCGAAGGGAGGGCGAGGGAGAGCCTTATATCCATTCCGGAAAGGGGAATAAACATGGTCCAGTATGTTTCCCCCGCGCGTCGGGAAGTTGATGTGTTGGTAATATTTTGGCAAAACCTTCTTCATGTTGGCGGTGTTGAAATCTCCGGCCACAACGAACGCCGCATCTGGCCGTGAAGTCTCGGTTTTATCAATAAACCCAAACAGCTGATCGAGTGCCGTGTTGTTGTCGGCGAGTGGCTGCGGCGGGATATACACTGCTGTTATCACAACAGATGTGAATTCCCTCGGCAGATGGAAGGCCCGACATGAGATCATGAGGTGCTCTAGCTGTGCGGAACAGTCCGATGAAATAATCTTCACATCTGAGCACCAGTTGTTGTTAGTCATTACACACACACCGCCTCCCTTACTTTTCCCCGAGTTTGCAGTCCGGTCCTGACGAAAAATAGAGAATCCGTCAGGGACAATAGCGGAGTCCGGGATAGCGGGGTTGAGCCAAGTCTCAGTGAGAATTAACACATTACAGTTCTTAATGTCCCGTTGAAAAGCAATCCGGCTTCTGAGTTCATCTAGCTTATTTTCAATGGATTGAACATTAGCCAGAAGAATACTCGGAAGAGGGGGCCGATTCTCACGTTTTCTCAGTCTGACCAGCAACCCGGCCCGGCATCCCCGCTTTGTCTTCTTCTTGCGTCTCTCAGGTAGAACAGCAACAGGTAGCCATGGTGAATCTCCATTGTCTGTCGGAGGGTTAATATTGTCCACGAAGTTTCGCAATTGGAAAAGTTCCTCTCTGCTATATTGTATGACAGAGTAGGTGCGAACCATGTTAAAAGTAAAACGGCAAAAGTAAAAGAAATATGTACAAAATACGAAAATGGGCAAAGTTGGAGAGGAGCACAAAGACGATGCGGCCATCTTCACCGGCGCATAACATTTGAAAGTGAACATTTTAGTATTGTAGAAACATTCTTGAATACGCGGTTTGTAAAAATGACAAAAACTGAAGACAAATGTTGACCATCATTTATTTTTTACAATTTTTAAATGTGTTCAGTTCTAGAGACCAGGATGAGCTCCAGTGAGAAGGAGGTGGAGGAGCTCCAGAGAGAGAACGCAGGTAAGCTATCTGAGTTAACCCGTATGTCAGGGGTAGGCAAGTAAGTTTGGCCGTGGGCCAATTTTTTGCTGAGCCACAAGATGGCGGGCCAGAACATAATCAAAGCCTAATTCAAGGAATTGATTTTGGTAAGAGGGCGCAGCGCCCCTGTTCCCCGGTTCAGAAAAAACTCTGATATCGCTGATAACCCTCCCCATCAACACTCTGATGCGCAGTCAGATCCGCTGATTGGTTCACTGATGATATAGGCGCCCAATCCAGAGCCTCTGGATAGACCCGCCCAAAGGGAGGCTCGTCGTCTCTAGCCCCATTTCAGTCCCATGTTAAAAGTCAGGGCTATTATCTGTATTTTAACAGACTTATCTTTTAAATTGAGGTGTATTTATTGTTCTCTTCAAAGTTTATTTTTTTCTGAAATTTTAGGGAGGATGGTCCTCCCTTTCTTCAATGGACGAGCCTCATACAAGTATTTTACTCAAACTCAATGTATTTAATAGTTAAAGGGGACCTATCATGCTAAATGCACTTTTGTACGTCTTTTATACATGAATATGTGTCCCCGGTGTTCCAGGGAACTCACCAAGTGTCAGAAAACACTACCCTCTCTATTTTCCTCCATACCCAAATCTCTAAAAAAGGGGCTGCAACGGATCTGATAAAAACTGATCCAGATTTGAACACTGTCCTGACGTCAGGACGGTGGCGCTACGGCTATTGGGCCAACTCTCCACCTATCAGGGGAATGTGGGGTTGGGCCACGGCCGGCCATTGCCGCTCGAAAGCGCTGGAGACGCTGTAGTACATGTGCCAGGCCTGTAAGTGGCGCTGTAGTCTGCCACAAAAGCAGCGAAGAAGACTTCCCGCGCATGGTTGCCATGGTTACCCTTCTGTTTATTCTCCGCTGTGGCTTTTGTTCTCCCTCCCCGAGGCAAGCACTGTAATTCTCTCCGTTTAGTCCACCAGCAGATGACAAACACCCACCTCTCCGCCTCTTCCAAGGAACGAGGGGACCGTGCGGCAGAGTTTCAGTTAGGTTTTCTTTCGCCGGTCAAGATGTCCGTTAAAGTTAAAATCTTCCGGACAGAACTAGAAAAATAACAAAAAATATAGTAAAACAACAGTATTTACAAAGAAATTGAATACAAATCGGCAAAAACAAACTGATATTGTTGTATATTGTGTGCATTAATGTATATTAAAAACACTCAGGGATGTGAACGGGAGAACTTGTACTTTAACCTATAGGCTACTTGGAATATTTTATGAATTGTAAGGTGTCCTTGGGTGCTTTGAAACATAATTAGTTATTATTATTAATTATGTTTCAGACAACAATGTCCAATGAACATATAGGCATGATTTCACATGTCCCAACCACTTTTTCAACGTATAACTTATAAATGTTCTGAGAAATAGCGTGTACACTTGTTTAGTGTCATGATCTGCAATTTGGACATGTCAGTAAACCTTTCATATCAAATGTGCTGCAGCAGGGCGCGGGCACTTTAAAAGAAGTAAACTATAAATAATTCCTCCTTACTCCACTGACGCTAAAATTACTAAAAATAATGACGATGTTTGCCTGAAGTAAATGTTGTCTTTTTGCTTTATTTTCTTGTCAGAGAGTACCAGAATGCGTAGTTTACATGTTTACACTTTTTGAAATTACCAATTATTTAAAAGTACTACTTGTAGATGTTCTGAAAAATAGCGCGTGCAAAGAGCTGTTGGTAGCCTACTACTTTACCATAAGACTAAGCCTTATAGCCTATTGGCTACTTAGCGAGAATCAACTCAGTGAGCAACAGATACCAAGGATGCTGGCGGATGAAGAAGACGAAGTAAGCAAGGTAGCCAATATAAGACTTGGCAGTACAGATAAATATGGGCTCACTATTTGGCAAGCATCCGGTCACAGTTGCCCTGTTTATCATGTCTTATAAAAGCTTATTAATGATTTATAAAGTGTTCACAACCTAATTAATAAGTGAATTACAAACTATTCGTAAACACTTTAGTATTGTAAAGTGGTACCGAAATGTTATAAACAAGAACCCTGGTTTAGTTTCAAGATCTGCAATTTGGACATGCTAGTAAACTCTTAATATAAAATGTAAAAACTTGCAAATTAATTTGGATATAAGAGACGTCGTAGCTAGCAAGATAACTTTAGCATTTATTAATAACTTGGGACTTGTTGGAGTTTTACTTATGGTGAATAATCCGTGTATCTACCGTCCAATTGTTTTTCTTTATTAAACAAGTAAACGGAAGAGCGTCTGAGAGGCGTTTTTGCTTTTTACCTTACTAAATGGTCTAATGGTCCTTGGAGCGAGGGGCGGGGCGAAACTCACGGAAGTGATTTGAAAACAAAAGCACTCGTTTGCTTGGAACGGTGATAATATTATAAACAAGGGGAAACGAGGTGAATTTAGCGATCACAACGAAAACGGCCAAGACACACATTGAGCCCAGAAAATGAATGTTATTAAGGGCTGTAAATATAATAAGCCTGTGTCTAAAATGGACAACATTGTTAGGAGATTTAAACTATACAGCGATTCTGCTCTGCGGTCACTCAGCCGTCTCTCTCTTTTTTCAATTCAGCTGCTCTTCATTTTTTGTCCTGCTATATTTGATGATCGATACAAATATTTGTTATCATAAGTTCTTAATAAAACTGACACTGTTGGACTCGGTACTAGTTTGACTGCTACCAGAAATAAAATGATCACTTTTACTGTGTACTTTGTGAGTAATCCTCTGTCAGAGTCCCCTCCATAGGAGGCTACATAATGCATGTTTTCTGCTATCTTTGAGGAATGATACAAATAAAATGTTACCATTAGTTCTTAATGATATTCATACTGTTTGACTGCGTATTAGTTAGCCTGCTACCAATGTAACGTCCGAGGTGTTAAGGCTTCAAGAATACTTCTGTGTAACAAAAACTCAGGAACTTAGTACTTTTTGGAGCGTCACAGATAGCGTCTCCGTTTATTAATCGTCGAGTCACACCCAAGCGGCAAACTCTGGGGAAGAGCCGGGACGCCAATACGGAAGTGCCACAAACTGCAGTTCATATATTGGCCGATAGGCGATGACTGCAGAAAGGAGCAATTTCCATAGACCCCCATGTTAAAATGCCCAATTTCACAGCAGAAAAAAAACGTTTCTAGCCCTGGATGCAATAAATATTATTATGTATATAGTTAGATTCCACCTTCATGATTATGAATCTGTGAGTGAATTGTTTTCTAACATGACCCTTTTATTTATATTAGGTCTTAAAGTTTTTGCATAAATTAGGGCGTGGTCACATTGAGTGACAGCTCTGTCAAGTGACTGCTGCTGTTAGCTTCTTGTCTCTCTGCTAGCTGCTCCGTCTCCGTGAAGCTACAGGGACTCTGCCTGCCCAGTTCATCCAGGGAACACAACTTGACCCCGGCCGTGTTTGTTTGTTCTTCATGCTTATATATCGGACTATTGTGACTCGCTCTGCGGTTAAAACAGACGGTGCATGAATGCCGTAAGTGATATTCGAGTACTTTATTTATGTGTTTATGATTTCAATCAGCTACGTAATGAATGTTAAGGTTTGGGTTAGCGTGTAAGCGAGTGGTAGCTACATCGGTGCTAACGGTGCTAATTTTAGCCTCCAAGTTAACTTAAAACCATAGACTGTATATATAAAGGTTAAAACGAAATAGACAAGTGTTAAGCGTTAAGTGGGATAATACTGTAGAACAAACGGCTTCTGTTTGAGGTTGATAAAATAAGGTCATCCTTGTAACTTAGAGAGATATTTTATTATGTAGGTAGGAACTGTATGCATCGCTAAGGTTAATTTAAATTGGCTATGCTCAAGTATGTAGACAAGCTAACGTCGAAGTAGTGTATGTGAAATCAACGTCACAATAAGATGTGTGTATATTACAATTATTAATGTCATATTTCAAGATGATTACTTAGATATTACAATATGGTTGGTTGAGCTGGAGTTCATTATTGAGCTTACACGTTAACATCACAGTCATCTGAAGAACGAACCCAAACCTTGTTGTTTTTATTAATTGCGTTACCAAATTGGTATCAAATAAACAGTAAGCATTGGTAACACAACTTCCAAAGTTACAGTAAAATAAAAAGGACCCTGACTCGGGCAATACACAATCCAACATGTTCAACAGAAGAGAATAAGTTATATTGTTTGTACACATGGTTCTTTACATATATATCTGTTTGTTTAAAGTGTCCAGGTGATGCAGACAGGCTGGACCAGAGAGTGAGAGACAGAACTGGACTCCTCACAGCAGTGAACTTCAGCACAGGTACAAATACTCTTTTTTCATACTGTACAAAGAATCAAGAAAGATATTGGTTTAAATAAATGAAGTATTGACTTTAATACACTGATATACATTCCATTAAACAATACTAAATACTAGATCACCTACACATCAGTGAAGTTGAGGGTTTTTTCCATGCAAAGGGTTACATTTAGATGTTAACAAGCAATATGACTGTCAGCTTTCTAATTTAAGGTATTGAAGGCAAAGATATTTAACGCATAGTGAGAACTGCTATTTATCTCTCAATATTGTCTGTATAAAAACGTGGTAAGTTATTCTTTCAGTGAGACAACAGAGCAAGCTTGTTTTAATAACAGTTAAATATTATTTTGATAATAAAATAAATGTCAATGTTGATGAATTTCATACTGTTCATTCATAATCTGATTGTCTTAGTAGCTCATTGTTGAAATAAAATAAAACATTACAATTACAAAATAATTATATCTACAGCCCCTAAACACAAACACACCTCTTTCATCAATAACACACTTGTTCTGCAATAATATGTTTTATGTTTCCTGTCATTTTTGTTAGGAAAGGACATGCCTGAAAGACACGACTCAGCATCTCCTCTTTCTCTGAGGGTCAAGAAGAACATCCAAGAGGAAAATTAAAAGCTGATGTTATGAGATGTTAAGACCAGTA